AAATCCACAAACGGTGTTGGCACAGGACTGCTAAGAGTTGGCACAGGACTGCTAAGAATTGGAAGAATACTTGGCTCCTTCACCGCTACCTCACCCCCACCTAGAGTGTATTTGCAAAAGATGGAGAATAAAGAAGAATCTACTGAATCAGGTAATCATTATCGTAGGGCAGAGTTGTACTTTTACCTTTCATTGAAGAAAGAGCACTTTAAACCCTCACCTATATGATTCATGTCAGGGTGTTCTCAGGGAACCATTCTCACAAACCAAGAGAGGCTTACAAGATGGACATGCCATTCCGTGGGTGAACATCTATGACACAAGAGACCTGAGACTGGCTGACATAATGTACAGACCTATGTGTAGAATCAAGAGGATGAACAGGACCCAGGAGGCAAAAAGAAAGGACACTGATGGGATGTAGCTCTTTCATTTGACTTCACAAAGGACCTCTGAGCTTCTAGTGGTCAAATGGATATTTGGAAGGCAGCCAGACTTGGATCATCTTCCTGGACTCCCTCCTATAAGGACCTCCTATAAGGAACGAGGCCCTTGGCAACAAGTAGTTGTGATGTATTCCAAGGAAGCAAACCTGAGTGGAGAATGAGAGGGATCATTTTGGAAAGAAATGGAAGTGGGCAGAGCTCCTGCGCGCCTCTGAGAACCATGCACAGACACCTGAGGGAGGAGAAGCATCAGGCGCCTGCCCTTTGAAATCGCTGACACCTGAGAGGAATCCAGTACACAGGTTACATAAAGACATTGTTGGTTTCCCTTTGCTTGGTCCTCTCCCCCTACCTAAACCCTGGTGATGCATAAGTGAAAAAGCTGATAGGCCACTTCCGTATCCCACATCCCCAAGTGTAAGTTTTGGCTTTAAGATAAAAAGAAAATAAATCCTGTATCAGAATTGAAAATAAAATTTTCACATGGATTAAATTGGATTGAACTGAATTGGACTGCAGAGTTCATGTTTGAAATGACTCCCCCCTCCTCCTCCAAAATGGGATCAGTCTGCTGAATGATAAAAAATAGAAAAAATATTCATAGAACACACCTAAAGATGGTGGCTAAAGAAAAATAAAACTAGTGTTATATTCCCTTGGAATTAAAGCTGTCCAATAAATGGTATGTTGCTATAGCAAGGATTCTAAGGATGCCAAGGAAAAAGTAAAGACAGGGAGAGGTTGATGGGCAGGAAGGACAGACAGTTCTCTGCATTTGGTACCATGATGAAGCCACAGAAGAGCTGCAGAGGAGCCCTTGAGCAGAAGAGCTGGAGCCCAGAAAGGGTGGAGTGTCTTAATGATTGATTTCCTAGAGGCAGTTCATAATAAACTAAGTTAAATCCACAGAGAGACTGAGCTGCCGAGGCTGAGTAAAAGAGAGTGTGTAGAGATAAGGTCAAGCAACTGAGACGGTGAATGTATTCCACTAACATGGGTGTGGAAGTCTCCCTGGAAGATGAGAGCTAGTAGGATGGGGAAAAGCGCTAAGATGCAAACACTCAATATTGTACCGAATGGACGGGTGTCCTGAGTTGACAGCCACAACATAAACAGGCCATCACCATGGAGACTTAGGCATAAGCTGCCAATGAGAAAGGCTTTTTCTAGAAGAAGGGAGGGTCGCTGGTCTGCAAACACTGACACAAAGGGAGGAAGATGCACCCTCACATGCCTGCTTCCTCTAGGAGGTTATAGCAGGCTGTGCTACATGTTCAGAGACTTACTAGGAAGTGCAGGGTTGTTTCCTGAAGAGGCTGAGGATTTGAGGAGCTGGGGGAGTTTGTTAACAATTGCATAATTGGCCAGGCTTGCATTTTAGTCAAATCACTTCAGGACTGTCCCAAGACTTTCCTGAGGGAAGTCAAGTGTACAGGGAGGGAGATCGTTTAGGTGGGTGTTGATTATTTGATCATAACAAGAAATCTTAAGGGTCTGACACTGAGTAGTACTAACAAGATTATTCAGATATAGATAGGAGCGCATGACTGATTAGATGTGAGAAGCGAAAGAAGAAATAGTTTACAATGACTCTCAAGTTTCTAGCCTGGGTAACATGATTGATAGCAGTGGAAGGGGTGAAAAATCAAATGCAGGAAGAGATACAATCTGATTTGGACATTTTGTCAAGAACTAAAGACCCGAGTTGATTTTCAGTTGGCATTTTCCTCCTTCCATGGTAAGAGGGTAGCTGATTTTAATTGGGCTCATGGCCAGGTAAAATAAAGAACATTTCTCATTTTCTTTTATAGCTAGATGTGGCCAAATAGCTAAGTTCTGGCTAATGATATATGGCATAAATTGTTTGCAACTTCCAGGAAGTATGTATAAAAAGAAGGATGTTTTCTTTATCCCTTATGGAAGATGGATATACTAACCACAGTTATTTTTAGCTATCATGTACCTTAAGTTTAACTTGGCCATGAAAACCATAAAAAGCAGAGCAGAAAGTCAGAAAGTCTTTCCCCTTCTCAAATATGGGAAGTAAAGAAATTACTTATTTTGTGGCTTTCTGTAATAGCTAATAAATACAAGATATGTTAAGTTTAATGTTTGTGGAACTCTGGGGAGGGACCTACAGTCAGGTACCGATATGAAACTAGGCGAGATATCAGGGTTGGAGATGGAAACTATAAGTCATTCTCCAAAATCAAGAGCATGGGATTTTTCTCCCCAAAGCTTTCACCCAAAAGTTTTCCAAAGCTTGAGGTTAATAAATATTTGTTTGGACAGACATTCACCTCTAAATCATAAGAGAACAATAGACATCAATATTATTTTATTTCTAAAAGACTGACTTTTGAAATAAAACATTTACAAAGATTCTCACTGGCTAGTCTTTATAAGGTACTTAAACCACACGAGAATTATATCTATAAAACCAAATGAGGACAAATCTGATGTGTCAATTACAGTATATTGATATAATGGACAGTAAATATTTCAGAAAAAATATTTGTACAGAATGTAAGTTTGAGAAAGTGTACAGGCAACATAATCCCGCCTAGACTCCAAACTGAACTGTAACATATTTGAGAAAATATGCACGCAACCTCCTTACACTTGCTAACATATTAGTCATTAATTCTATTGTACAAAATATTCTATAAATGTCCTCAGAAATTAGGGTCTAGGCAGATGTTATTTGTAAATCTTGACCTTCCCCAATAAACAGACCACATTAGAAGTTCCTGCCTCCTCCCACATCATTTCAGGTTGTTTTCTCAAAAGTAAGAGACTTTCTTTCAAATAAAAATTATATATAATAAATTTCTTATAATGATTCCAAGTTAAAAGAGCTAGAGAAGGTGCTCCATGTTGTACTGTATTCCCCTCAGAGAAAATTTAAATAAATAAACGAGCATCTGCATGTTTGATTTCTGGGATTTTTATCATGAGTGTTTGAAGCAAGACTATCTGGCCTCTTCTCCCCATAGTTTAGTTAGCATGTGCTCTTCACTCAAGGATTGCAAAGATAATTTTAATATTTGACTCATAAAACACAATTAAGAAGGGAATATACAAAAATAAAAATTGTAATATGTATTGTAACTAGTAATGAATTTCTGCTTACTCCTGGTTAGGAACTCCTTGGCCCCTCCTCCCCTCTCCCGGCTCAGCTAGGAGGTAGTTAATTAGTGCACCCCAAACATCAGTGACCAAACCCACATCTGCCCAGTAATTTCTTTGTGCCTCAGACCCATGAGACACTGGGACCTCACATCTGTAGCTTCCTGATACAGGGGTTCTCATGGAGGTACAAATTAGAATGACTGATCTGAAAACAATAATATGCAGTATAAGAACCACTACTGAACTCCTGCCATCTTGTAGGGAGAGCTTTGCATTATTTCCAATGTTTTTTTCTATTACTTGTTTCTATTACTTGTCTTTTGCTTGTTTGATCAACCTTATGTTCTTACATCTGGTGGACTGAGCAACTTCGTTGAAGATAACAGTATGTAACGTAGCAACCACTGTTAATTCCTATCATTTTGTTTTGAGGTCATGTATCATGTTTGTTATTTTTGCATTGTTTTGATTTTGTCTTGTTATTTTGTTATTTTTTTAATTTTTAAAATAAAAAAGTTAAAGAAAAAAAAAGAAAGAAACCCACATCAATCAGGCACTAATAAAAATAACTGAGGGAACTTTCAGGTTTGAAGCTCCTGCCCAGAGAAAGTGCCTCGGGAGGACAGGGGAGCATCTAGTGATAAACTAGGTCAGGAGGCGCAAGACTCAGTTTTAATCTTGATCTGACACTTTTCCTTCTCCCTGCGCATAGCCAGCATTAGACCAGCTAACATCGGTGGTCTCGGAGGTCTCTTCCAGCTTTAAAGGAGCAAGTGTTGAGAACAATGTCAACCAACTGTGAGGTCAACAATGTGACCGAAGCTCCTACCTGGGATACATTCATGTATCATTTGTACTTTTATCTTGGCCCCAGGGACTATTTAATTCAGATATTTAGCTCTGTGGGAAATTTCTGCCAGTCCTATTCTCTCTTCCATTGATGATGAGTCTTTCAAACCAACATTTAGACTGTTTGCTTTGATGTTTGGACTTGTATTACATTTGTAAGTGGGAAAAGGAAGGTACTGCTAAATGCAAAATTTTCCATGAAGAAATTTTCCTTTGTGCGATGCAACTTGCCATTGGGCAGAGTATAGTATAGGAAAGTAATTAGATGCATACAAAACCATGTGAATTTTTAGAGACTTTTTGGTTGTTTGGGGTTGCCAAGGATACACAGTTGTTTTCCACCAACCCACACATCCTTTATGCTCCTAATAAAGCTTCTGGAGTCTGCGGGGCTTTTTCAGGCTCTTTCTACTCTCTTCCTATGACTTCACCATATCATTAAAGATCTAAAGTTCTTTAGCATAATTTAACAGTATTAGAAAGATCTGTAACCGTATCCAAGGATATGAATGTGTTTGTTGTAACAACCGCCTGGGTAGTCCAAAAGGCCTTTCAAGCAAAAAACACACCATGTCAAATTTTCAGTAGTTTTATTGAAAAATGCCTCTTTTGTTTCAGAAATAAATAATATAAGGCAGTGAAATTCACAATCTGCAGTTAAAATATAAAAGCAGCAATTCTATGTTCATAGTCTTGCAAACATTTTCCAACTGCTTTTGATAACTAAGAAACATTATGTTCTGGGGGGAAAGAGTTCATACTAAATATACAACACAAACATGCAATTCCATCTCTGCAGAATCATCTGCAATTTGGCATAAATGTTAGTGTGTCTAAAACAAGGCGATGTAAGGAGATATGGAATTGTATCCAGTTGATACAATAACTTCAGCTACATGGCTTTAGGTCTGTGGTTATCCAGGGAGATGCATGAGAAGGTTTTAGGCAGTAAAATGTAACAGAAGAGAGAAGGGGAAGATGAGAAGTTGACGCTGCTGCTGCTTCTCTCCTATGTGAGTTTAGGAGGGAATTAACTTGAATTGTGGAATAACTCGTTGCAGATAACTACTGGAAAGATAATCTGCTCTCTGGAAGTGCAGAGTGTTGGGTTGTGCTGGGTCCCAGGACCTAATGTTTAACCCAAGCGCTTCGCTGAAGCCACCCCACAGGGCACCTTCTCTCTGAGTAGCTTTAGTGAGCAGAGCATTGGGCAAGCGTGTGGAGGCTGAGGCAGGGATGCCTGCGGGCTGTGTGCTGTGAGTTGGGAAACTGCAGATGCAATGCGCTCTGCAGTCAGAAAGGTACCCGTGGGTGAAGCAACGCTGAAGAAACATCACAGAAAAGTGGCACACTGCTCTCTCTACCCTGAACGCGACCCCCGACCTCCCTGCCCTGCTCAGGCCCACCCGGGACCCAGACGCGGCTCTGCGGGCTCATCGGCGCCGTAGTCGTCCTCGTAGTCTGCAGTTCGTTCGGACTCCACCGGTGGGACAAACGGCTGGCGCTCGGGCAGGTAGCCCTCTGGCACGAATGGCTCTGTGCGACCAACAGCAGGGTTACGGGCACAATCAGTATGAGGGGGACAGGGCCCAGCCCCAGCCCCTCACCCTGGGGAGGAAGCCCGGCTCAACCCACGACCACAGACAGATGACAGTGCTCTGGTCATGTCTCTTTGCAGAGAAAACCCGGTGATCGAATAATGAAATGGAACTTTTTAAAGAAACCTTCAGAGATCCAGCAGTAAATACAATCATTGCACAAAATACCTGGGAAGGGGCAGAGACTGGGCCAAAGACCTGCAAAGGCAGAGAGCCAAGGCGGGGTGTTCACACATCCCCTCTAGCCACAGACCAACTTGGGAAGAGGAGGAGGAGGAGGAGGAGGAAGAGGCGGAGGTGAGGAGTTTTCTGGGCTCCTGAGAACTGAAGTCTGGAGTTGGGGAGCAACTGTCACCAGGTGACCTACAGTACATGACATTTCCTGTGGCCTCCCTCACAGACTGAGTCACAGCTAGTGGGTGAAGGACACCAGGGACTACAGCAAAAAAGGGGGGAAAGGGATGGTTTTAAACTTTTGTTTGAAAATGGTGGTCATAAAACCCAAAGGAGAGTACACATACGGAAAAATAAAAGAAAACAAAACACTGAAAGTCACAAGCCCTGAATCAGCAACAGCACAGCGCTCAGAAGCAAAGGCAGGAAGAGGTGCCGCCGGGTGTTATTCCGGCACAGAGCTCGCAGCCAGCAGCTTGGATGCAGAAGCTTCAGAGAACTGTTAAGTAATTTTAGTGGACAGGATCACATACAAACCATGTACAAGCCACATTAGTTTATTATTTACATACGACACCTCTCTTTAACCAGGTTAACTGCATTTCTTAAAATGCCATCGTCTCCTCTGCTGGTTAGTAGTTTTATTATGCACCTCTTTCACAAGGGAAGCTCTTCATGGCTTTGTGTTTGAACTTTTTTTTTAAAAAAATATATGTTTTCTGCATTATTGCTGCAATGCATCAAACTGACACCACTGTTTTGGTCTCCTTCAAGTTAGTACAAAGAATGTCCACCCTCCTTTATGATGTCGACCCGGCTCCTTAACCATATCTGTGGTGAGATTTCCAGACAGACTCATTTTCTAATAAGCACGTGCGCAAAACATCTCAGAAACAGGATTTTCATGTATTCAAACTGTAAGCAGCACTGGCGACTTAGAAAATTTGTTAGCCGGAACCTGAAACAGGTCAAAGATGATAGGTTTTTAAAAGTTGAATTACTATGCAAAAAATATATACACACCCATCTACGTATATAATGGTTAAAGTATAATAGACCTATATATCCATATATTTTCATTTATTCACACATGCCATAAGACAGTGGTGATTTCAATTTATTTTGGAAAGAACTGAATTGTAATTTTGCAAATGGGGTGCATATGAAATATACAGTAAGATGCACTATGACTTTGGGTTGTAGGTGTACACATAAATATATAGATATATAGATATTTAGATATTCAGCTATTCATGCACTACTTGCTAGTAGCAAACCATATCAAATAGCAGTATCATTTTTTAAATTGGCAAGATGCTTGAGGATGCACTAATGAAAAAGTCACTGTTGACCATAGCATCACTGACTGACAGCCCCACCCACATCTCTCTGGTCTTCATAACCCCCAAAGTCAGGCAAAGAGACTTCTGTCCTCTATAAACACCAAGTAGTAGAATTTCATTAACAACCCTTTAGAAAGAATTCAGTCTCAGATTTTATAAATATTAATTCCATGGACAATGAATTTTTCATTTGCCTGCACTATGTTATTAGTTTATTTATTCTGGACATTCTATAATTGTATTTGACAAATCCCTGTTCCTTTCAGATATATATACAAAAAAGTTAATTGGTAATATTCCTTGAACTCCCAGGGAAAAAAAGAAGAGATTTATGATGTGATTTGATAAATGTAGAAATACAGAAGAGAAAATACTGTAATTATTTAAATCCGAACAGTGAAATAGTGTTTTATGCCTTAGAAGGTAGATAGCACTATTAATATATAAACAAAATTCAAAACTGAAAGAGTTGATATCTTCCAGAAATCCTTAAATTAATCTTCCTACATTTCCATAAAGGTTCTTCAGCTGGCTTTGGGTTCCTACAGTGTCAACAACGTACCTGGATAGCCTTGCCCGTTGTATGGTATGCTGGCACACTGGGACGAGTCACAGTATCCAGGAGGACCCGGGGGTCCTCGGATACCTGAGTTTCCAGGACGACCAGGTGGCCCAGGAGGACCTCTTGAACCTGTGGACCCTGGTGGACCTGTTCTGGATTCTCCTTGAGCACCTGGTGTGGAGTTAAAACAATTTCTCCTGGTTAAATGCACTTCATGAGGCAGTCAGCAACATTTGCTAGGGCACTGCGCCATAGCAAGACTAGACTATTCACAATTGCACAAAATTATTTCCTTAGGAAATCCCTAATCTACATGTCAAGAAGTTCTGTGATTTGCTCCCATGTCACAGAAATAGGAGGCTCTAAAAACCTCAGTTCCCGTGAGACTGCCATGAAGACACGTGGGTGTCTTTCCCATCCCCAGACTATATGAAGAGAGCAGTGTTATTTCTGCATCAAGTGATGCTTAGTTATGATTAATATAAATGTAAAGATTTAACTATTGGACTGACCTTGGTGGCAACGGTTCTCACAGACCTTACAATAAATAAAAAAATTTGTTTTCAACCTAACACAGTGCATAAAAACATGGAAAATTGTTATTTCTTTGCAAAATTTTACAAAAGAAGCCATAAAGGAAATCTTGAAATGTATCAAGACTTTTAATATGTATTTTTTCAGCCTACTAGCCCCATATTGAAATCTACTAGAAGAAGAATGTATCCATCCTTAAAGCATTATGAAGCCAAATAAAACACATAGAAATTCCCTAAAAACAAAAATAGCAACCCTCTCCCACTAATGCTCACATATTAAAGTTACAGTAAGCACCTAACAGAACACGTTCATTTTTTGAACAAAAGGAACTTAAAAATAATCTACTGCAAACATACCGTAATGGTATGCACACCCCAAACTAGCCAGATGAAGTTGTCGCTCTCTTGGGACTAATGTTGTCTTACTATTTTACCTGTTTCATGACTGGCAAACCTACCTGGGGGACCAGGCAGCCCTCGAGGTCCTGGGGAGCCTGTGCCCCTTTCACCCTTCTCTCCTGGCAAGCCTAAGGAAGGGCAAGAAAAAAAAGCACAGGGCAAGATTATTTGCAAACACGCAGCTTGTGTCTGAAATGATAAGACTCAATACGAGTAAGTCCTTTGCTTAGTGAGAGCAGAGACTAATTTTTCACAGAAGTTCACTCTTCAAGCCAAGTTCTCTCTAGACATTTGTGTAATTCCAGATTCATGGCCAAGAAACAACTCTGGCTACAAGTCAGGGGGAAATTATTTGAAGGAAACGAATGTCTAATATATTTTAAATAGTAATGAAGAACAGAAATCTGGGCTAAATAGTTATAGCATATGAAAAACAATCTTAAAGGGACCTTGTCTTTAGTATCTCTGCTTGTAAGGCATGCAAACCATCAAAATTATGGAAATATCTAAGTTTTGTCTTAAATATTAACTACTCCTTTGAGCAAGGTGCCCTCCAGAGTCCCAGACCATCCAGAACGAGAAAATTTTATCTTTCTCTTTTCCTTCAATTGCACTTGTCTACCATGGAATTAGTCAAATAAACATACAAGGCCCACACCAGTCCCTGAGTAAAGGAACAGAAAGATTCTGGGTCTGAAACTCCAGGGATGCTTACGTGAATTCCATTTCTGTTCAACTCTTGCCATAATCACAGCAAGATTTTAGTGCCTGCTTTAGTTTGGCAAGATTCACTATTTCTCTCTAACAAGAAAAAAAAAAAAAAAAAAACAGAAAATGGCAACATCTTTACTGAGATCTGAGAACAGCACCCTGATTGCTAAGATCCAGGCCTCTCTCACGTAGAGTCAGGTTGATGCACAAGTGCGTCTTTGGAGACTGTCCAAACGAGACTAGGGAAAGTTATTACCCGACCCAGGCCCTACGCTTGCAGGCTTCTCCCTTTATCTCTGTGTTAGCAACCACAAATGCCCACCTCGTTCCCCAGGAGGCCCCTGCATCCCTGGCGTGCCCGGGAAGCCCGGTCGCCCCCCAGGCCCTGGTTCTCCTCTGGATCCCACGCTGCCAGGTGGCCCCGGAGGACCTGGTGGGCCTGGCTGGTTGCGGTTGGAGTGGTAATCATTTGGAATCTGATTCAGCATCTGATTGAATCTGTTCATCTGACCTGCAAATAGAAATGAGGCTTGTGAGTTGGAAGTTGGACAGGGAGGGCTTGGGGAGTGAAGTCACTTTCCCTTAGTGTCTAGTGAAACCCATCTATATTCCTTTTCCCTGCAGGAAACATTCTGTGATTAGCATCCCCAAAATAAAGGAAGACACTCCAGTTACAAATGACTGGATCCCTGATAAACAATCAGTTCCCCCAAAACTACAAGCCTAATAATGAGTATCAAAGAGCTGCTGAAGTTTAAGGAGTCTCTGAGATCATTTTAAGGCACACCAAATAATGTGGCTCAAAACAGAACTTTTTAAATTAAGAAACTATATCATTTTTTTATGTACCTAAGGCAATAATAATCAGGTTTCCATGCAAATTGGAATCACCCGTGGGTATGCTGGAAAATACACATCTCTGGGGCCCATCTCCAAACACAATGACTCATCAGCTTCAGGGCGTGGCCTACAAACACATTCCTAACGAACAACAGGTGTGATTTTAAGACAAGTGTTCCTCTGGACCACACTTTGGGAAACACTGCTTAAAACTGCTTCAAGCCCTGAGTGTGAGGCTTGCACTCAGTCTGCAGGCACTGAGCGTTATTTTTAATAAGCCTCATGGAGTAAGAAGAATCTATGAAAACTAAGGAGCAAAAAGGTCTCTGCCGAAGTTAACTTTCGAGGACCAAATTAATTAGGGTGGTTCTCCTTTTGTTGCATCTTAAAACAAATTAAAGGCCATAACCTGAAGGACCCAAGGTCTTAGCACTTAAAAAGTTTGCTGCCTCCAGCTACACCCTGATGAAACTCACTACAACTCCTAAGCTGAGCATCTTTGGTGCAGATAACAATATGTAATATAACAACCACTGTGAATTCCTATCATCGTGTTTCAAAATCCGGTATCTTTTTTCTATTGTTTTTGTGTTGTTTTGTTTTTGTCTTCATCATTGTTATTTTGTTATTAGTTTTTTTTTCCTCTTTAAAAAAATCCTAATAAGGCAACTGAAACTCCATTTTAAAGTATGATTTTGTATGGTGTTGAATGTAGAAATAACAGGCCATTATATTGCCTTAGGTTATTATTTTACCTCAGTGACAATCTTGAAACTATCATTAGCTTTGCAGAATCAGATAAAAAAAAAACAACAACAGTGTACAAACAAGTGTTCACCAAGAATAAAATGCAAACATAAACCTTAAAACTGTATGAGTCAAACTCTGTGTTTCCTTACAATTAGCTTAAAAACCACTTGTGTCAAAAGAAAGGAAACTTTACCATTTATCAGTTGTTCGCAGACCTGTCTTGCCACTGCTCGCATCATGTTCTGGGAAGCAATGTCTCCCTGGGTAATTAAACCGAGAGAATTGTCAGCACATTACTTCAATTGCTTCAGACTGCCGGGACTATAGCTCAGTGGCATAAGCACCTGCCTGGCAAGTGCAAGGTCCTGAGTTCAATTCCCGGTACCAAAAAAAAAAAAAAAAAGATTCCTTATCTCTTCAGACTTCAATATTTAACACAAAAAATAAATATCAGTCAGATTTTAAGAAATACATACCCTGTCGCCTTTTTCTCCTTTTAATCCAGATGGGCCCTGAAATACAGGAATTTCATGTGTCATAAACTGAACAGCATGATCTACAGCAGCCCTGTTGTCTAAAGAACTAGCAAAATGACATGTCACTTTTATGTCCGTTTTACTCACACTTTGCTTTTCTCTTAAAAGAAATCTACCCTCCCCAGTTCTCAGAGGAACACATGCCCTCCAAAACACTGCTCAGATGTGAATTGGAGAATCCACTACAGGAAAAGTTATGCACCATGTGTATGTCTTGTAATGCCGCGCGGAATGCAGGGCTTCGGCCAAGATACAAATGAAGATTAAACCTGTACCATCATGCTTCACAAGCTCAGGCTGTTTAGCTCATCTGGTTATCACAGGGTATCCAGGAAGTTCATCTTCAGTCAGCTCCGCTAAGAGCCAATGGGCTTTGGTCAGCCCCCTTGCTGAACATATGTCTCTAACTTCTTCCAGGAGTCTTTGTGCACCAGGTGGAAAAGAAACCAGGTGGCCCCCTTACTGCATAACTCAACCCAAATGGCATCACACCCAAACACACCCTTGTCTCTGCTCAGTCACAGGCATCTCACTGGCCGTGGCAGATCTTGGGGAAAGGTTTTCTTAAGTGCAGGAAGTTGTTGTCTTTCAGGCTGCCAACTGAAGGAACACCCTAACCACTGACAAATCTGATGTTCAGATAGTAGGTCCAAGCAAACCACCTCTTACCATCTCCATGGAAACCACTGTGATCAAAACCAAGACTCTTACCTTAACCATTCTAGTGTCCTGCTTCCCATTTTGCCCCTCCATAGTTATTCTTTTTAAGACAAGGTCTCACTATGTAGTTCAAGCTGGCCTTGAACTTACTATGTAGGTTAGGCTGGTCTTGAACTCATGGCGATCCTCCTGTCTCAGCTTCCCAAGTGCTGGGATTATAGGTGTGCACCACCACACCTGGCCACTCTATAGTTATCCACACAGAATCCAGAATGAATTTTTTAGGGAGAAAATTAGATCATGCCATTCCTGTGGCCCAGCAAGTTTCCTATCCCACTTAGAATAAAGTAAAAATTCCTTCTCATGGGTCAGATTGTCCACTGGGTCACCTGTGACCTCATCCTTTCTCCTTCTCCCTGAGTCCCCATCTCTTCAGGTGGCCATGCTTCCTGGATGTTCATCCTCCAAGCTCGCTCCTTTTTTTTTTGTCTTTTCTTATTTTAAAGAAAATAGTACAAAAAAAGAACAATAGCAGAATACAAACAAGACTATATGTCTGGGTGTAGATTTATTTTGGTTATGATTAATTGGAGTTCTATATGCTTCACTTATGTGAACTCCTACAATCTTGTCAAGTGAAACTCTGTATTATCTCTAATGTTTTATCTGATAATTATTTTCTTATTCTTTTTAACGGTTTGAACAATCTTCCATTCTTACATCTGGTCATCTGAGCAATGTAGTTCAAGGTAACTCTGTGTAATATAGCAACCACTGTTAATTCCTATCATTTTGTCTTGAGACCCTGTGTCACTTTAAATGTTCTTGTTTTGGTTTGTTTATGTTTGTGATGCAGGTATGCCGCTATTGTTCTTTTTTATTTTCTCACTTACTACTCTCTTTAAAATAAAATTTAAAAAATACACAACACGAAAAAGTACACACAAAAAAAGCAAGGACATTAAAAATGATACAAGGTTTCACACAGGGCATTAAGTCATGCTGTTCCCTCTGCCTCAACACCCTTCACAAGATCTAAGTGCTTGCTCCGTCCCTCATCCCAGTGGCATTTCTCAGACAGGTCCCCCACCTACTCCTAGGGTGTCTGCAACAGCTAGTTTTTCACCACAACACTGGAAAGCCCTGTGCTGCATCTCGTTTCTTCCAACCACCTATCACCTATCACCCTGAAGGTCTGTTATTCACCAACATTGTGCTCATTTTTGTCCCGCTCCACAACCCCTGTGAAGGCAAAGGCTTGTCCTGTTTACTGCTCCACACCAAAGTACAGCTATCCTAAGAAAAACTTGACTTTACTGTTCTCTTGCCAAAAGCATTAGATGCTTGGTAAAAACATGAACATTATTTAATTTGGAGATTTTTGCAAGTTGCAGGGATTTTTTTTTTGACATTTGCTGCTTTTTTGACATTTTTCTAATATATTTAACTTCTGGATACTCTGCAGTTGCCCTTTTGTGTGTGGTTTGTGGAAGTTATTTTTATTGCCAGTGTTTTGAGATCATGTTTGAAGTAAAAGCTGCAGATGCTGCTTTCAGGCATCTAGCAGCATCAACTGTAAGAATCTTAGGCAAAATAAATACATACAAATAAGGTAAAGCATGTAAAAGGATATAGGGCCCAATAATCATTACAAATACTTCTGGACATTTTAGAAACTGTAAATTGAGTTTTGGAGATACTAATTTGAAAACCTGATATGTACAATGCTATCTCAATTTTAAACCAAAATATCTGAGTAAAAGATATTTAAATTGGGTATAAATTGGAGGAGGACTGTTTTTAACAAGTTAAATGACCAACTAAAGTTAATTAATCCTTTTTTAAAAAGTGCTGGGAATTAAACCAAGAGACACACTAGGCAACAGTATGCCTCTGAGCTACAACCCAGCCCAGTAAATCCTTTGATTCTGGGATTAATGTTAACTAAGGAGAAAAGAACAGATGCTTGCAATTCAAGAATGGAAGCATCCCACATTATCGTTGTAAGCTTTCCGGTCTTACACAGCATGCCACTTCTAAGTAAAAAGAATCATTCTGTTGATCCATCTCCGAAGCACTGTTTGTACACCGCAGAAATACTTGTTTTGGATCATAATCCCATTCCAGTTTTTAAAGCACTCAATGACCATCATTTTCACTGCAGAATATTATAGTAACCCAGAGAGAAAAACTCTAGAACTGGTACCAACCCAAATCTGTAGAATTAGGACAGGCTTAGCAAATGCTTCAAACACACATAGAGCAGGTACTACCTACACATGCCTCAGCCCCGAGGTTCTCTTTTACTTCTATGCATAAGGAAAGGAAAGCAGACAGACAAACAAGTTGTCCACTTACTGGTCGGCCGTGATCTCCAGGCTTTCCTGGTTTCCCACTTGGTCCTGTGACGCCTGGAGAGCCAGGGCTTCCCTACAACACAGGTCAACAGAGGAAATGTTATAACCAAGAGGTAATCCTGCCACAGTAAGCTAAGTAACTGTAGCCAGGTTAAAAAGCTTTTAAAGGAAACAACATACAATTACACATTAAGGGAAAAGTAAAACCAAATTTTAAGGTAACTCAAAGGGGAAAAAAAAAATCTTGAAAATTCCAGTTCAATTTTTATGGACTGTGCAGTTCCAAAATACATTTTGAGGCCAGTTGAACAGTACTTGCGCATTTATCACCAGTTTCACAACTCACAGACTCTCATCCCAGTACATTGATTACAAAATGAATCTGCAGAGAACAATTCCTATTTTGTAGAATGTTTCTACTTCAAAGCCAGAAAACTCTCCTAAAGCCAGAAAATGAACTGTGCTAAGTTAGCATAGTGGAGGCCTCCTTCCCTTTGTCTTCTGGGAATTTTGCTTGCAACCTAGAAATTCCTTTTTTCCTTAGGCACTTCTCCCTACTTCTATTCTCTGCTATCACATCTGTATCTGCATTTATGACCTCACCAAACCAAAGAATTTCTCTCTGTTGCTTGCACTACAACTTCCAGACACTTTAATCATATTTTCAGTAGAGTGTTTGTGATATATAATATCCAGTACATCATGTTTTAATGCTAAATTTTGCTTACATGGAATCATCAGATTTTGTAAAACAGTACTTGATTCCACTGGCCATGCAAATTTTAAGCTCTATAGTAGATACTTAAGATGAAAGTTTAGGGGCTGGGCGTTTAGCTCAGCCACACAGCGCCTGCCTGGCAAGCGCGACATTGTGAGTTCGATTCTCAGTGCCGGAAAAAAACAAAACAACAAAAAAAAACAAAAATGAAAGTTTACTATGCATTTAAACCACCCTCACCTGAAAATATGGATATTAAGCATAAATGATAAAGGTATTCTAACATATGTCCTCAAATCTTAATATACTACCATACACACATGGAGAGTATCCATCACCTCAAACGATGCCAGTTGCACAGTCACTAGCTTCAGTAATTTCCCCACAAATCTTAATTAGAAGACTCTTTCTTTTAGTGTGGATAAAACTTACTTCCTCAGAATGACTGATGGCAGCTCACTAATTAGTGTCCTTGACATTCAAATAGTATAGCCTTGGGGCTGGGGATTTAGCTCAGCGGCAAAGCGCCTGCCTGGCAAGCGCAACGTCGTGAGTTCGGTTCCCGGTACCGGAGAAAAACCAAAAACCAAAAAAAAAAAAAAACCAAATAGCATAGCCTCGGAGTCTCAAACTTCTTGAGGAGGAGGCAGCCACAGAGGTCACTTGATATGAGGCACTCATTATCCAGTGGCTAAATAAGCTTGGGATTTTTTTTTTAAATATAATTTGATTAAACGCAAAGGCGGTATTTTGACACATCTGTTTTTTTTTTTTTTTTTTTTAGCACACTTGGATTTAGCAAAATGAAAACTAACGCCTCTCTTGACATTGTTACCCACCCCCATGAAATGTGCCTCAAATCAAGTTCCTTGGCATTTCTCTTCCAAGATGGAATCATAAGGTAAGAGTTTGGGGCACAGGAGAACAACACAAGACATTCAGTTCTTACCGGTGGCCCAGGGGGGCCCCTGGGGCCCATTGTACCATCTTTTCCAGTGAAGCCCTATTGTAAAAATAAAATTGATTACAGATGAGGAGGGCAGTGATCAAATAAAAAGATGCTCAACAAGTCACTAAGGGTGAAAAGGATAGTAAGAAGCAGCTGGCCCAATTTGTTGTCAGAAAGCTAAGTTTTCAACACAAAGACATACACAGCCCCCCTCAAAAAAAAATCACTCCAATTTGCCTTACCCCTTTTTTAAGTAACTAATTTGTATGCTCATTCATTTGTGTATTGATAGATAAAACTCTTTCAAAAGCCAACCTAATCTTCTCTGAAGAAGGCATTTCCTTTCATGAAGATGCTCATTTTTTGCTTTTGCAAGAGTATGAAGGAGTTAACAGTGGTTGTTAAATTACATGTTGTTATCTTCAATGAAGTTGCTCAGATTACCGGATGTAAGAATACAAGATTGATCAAATATTAAAAAGAATAAAAAAAAATTAAAAACGTAAAATTTTTTAAAAAAGAGTATGAAGGAGGCTAAGAAGAGACTGATCCTTTCTACCAAGAAGTCATCCAAAGTGGTCCAGGAAGAGTCAGAGTGGGGTGACGGGAATGCTAAGAAAAGCATGTGTATTGGACAAGATGCAGGAAAGGCATGCTTAGAGAACCCTTTTCTTCATTTCCGGAGCAGCTGTGAGACAGCACAGGCAGAGCAGTTTGTCTCCATTCTCGGGAATGCGTCTCCTCCCCAAAGAGAAGTAAGGCTGCCTTACCTGCTCGCTACCCAAAGAGAAGGCAGCTTGGTCCTCAGGATGAGCAGTTCAACCTCCCAGCTGCTTTTCCCTCCTCATCTTACATAAAAGCCCAGGGCTGCATCTGCACCCCTCAGGGAGAGAACAGAGCAGTCCCCACCAGCAGACTCTCTGGCCCCTGCACAAGCTTTCTCTGTAGCTTTTCTTCCCCTCTTGGTGCACAGTGCCAAAGGCCCTCTGCCTGCAGGGAGTCACCCGCTACCAAGTTAGCTTTCATGCCAACTGCAGGGCTCTGAAATCCAGTCTAGGATTCCTGAGTCAGGTCATTGTTTATGGTTGTTGCATTACTCAAACAAGATTTTTTTGCTCATTTTCTGCAGAGAAAGAGAGTGACCATTTCACCCATATGCTTGGATGCTAGCCAAGAGCAGGATTATGTGAATTCCTGCCTAGTATCTACATTGCTTAGTGGTCCACTAGTTTTACCGTAGAAGTTTAAATTAGTTCCTTAAAATCTGTTAGAAATTTTCCACTACCCCTACACTAAAAAAAATCTTTTCAGAAATGTATAGGGAAAGATTTCAGACTGTTTTCTGAAAGATCTAGGCCTGCTTAACAAAAAACAGATCCCAAGTCCATCTGCTATAGCATCAACATTGCTCTGAGAGCCACTTCAGGAGAGGAATGCCCAGAAGTGCTGCTTGGAAATTGTGAATGGCGTTTCTTCCATCTAAATTTCTCCAACTGCTACACAGTACACTTCTCTTCATTTTTTTTTTAGATAAGTCTCATATTTCTGAATCATCTTCCTCCAGTCACCCAAGGAAATTCCTGAGCAGCCATTTGCCTTTAAAAGAAACATGTCTAACTTGAGAAAAGGAGGATTTTATTCTGTGTCCTTAGGAGGTCCCTTCAACCCTGCCAACCTTTGTGCTATAAGTTATTTATTTTATTCATTTGTTTGAGCCCAGGAATGGAACTCAGGACCTCATGCTTCCTAGGCAGGGGCTGTGCCACCGAGCTACATTCCTGGCCCAGTGCTACAACTGAAATGGAGTATTCTTTTCTTCTCCCCAAACTGCCAGGAGAGCCGTGTCCTGTGTGAGGGCGCCCGAAGCAGGCGATCGCTTTTGTACATGTGCAGATGGTTCCAAGTGTGGTTCTGTTTTTACTTTCAAACAGCCCCAAACCAGTGCCTCACTTTGAAACCCCTGTGTGCTGAAGACAACCCAAGTGCCCTGCCCCAGCCTGCAGGTATGGTGACGCACCACCTTTCCTCACAACGCTCCTAGACCTTTCTTCTCACTTTCACCTTTGATCTCACGTTCTTTATTTTTCCAACTGAGACCGCCATTCCCTAAGCCTCAAATCTGTGTCCCGCAAGCTGTGGACCTCCTTCTAGGGTTCATGGTGGTTCACTAAGCAGTAGGAGAGGCCCTGGCTCTGCGGGAAAGGAGAGAACGCAGTCTCTTCCCCTTTATGCTGAGAGACGTGGGTGGCCTTGCCATAGAATTAAACACAGATTAGAGTCTGAGAGAAGAAAAGCACAGGCCCTCCCAATTCTCCTTCTCCAGGGACGTAGGGGCCATGGTGACAGCTGCCTGGGTGCTGCTTCTGAAGGACTGTGTTGCACACAGGGGTGTGACAGGCACCGCCAGCCTTGGGTCAGCCCAACATCGCTTCTGGGATGTAGTATTTTTAGTACCACTCCTTCATTCTCACTGTTGCCTTTTATTGTAAAGCCAAAAAATTTTTTAAAAGATAAACTCGAGGCTTTTGTAGGTAACTGGATACAACCAGAGACCGTACTCATAAGTGAAATAAATCGGGCCCACATGTGTAAACATCACATTGTCTCCCTGGTGTAAGAACCTGAAAGAGTAAATAAAACCCCAAATGTAGAGATAATAAGAAAGGGAAAGAAAATGCTCAAAGGAAGGAACAATTGGGATGAGGGAAAGAAGAAAAAGAAAGTACTAAGGCATTTTATATATTATGGATTGGTGGCATAACTATACTGTTGGTGTCTGATGGTTTGTTGAGGGGAACAGTTAATGTTTAAAAGTTTTTTTAAAATATTTTGATCAATTTTGCATGTTTGTATCTGGTAACCTGAGCAACTTATGTGATGACAACAATTTGCAGTGTAATATCCATTGGTGAATTCCTACAATCCTGCCTAGAGACACTATGTATTATCTCTAATGTTCTTTTCAATTATTATCTTCTTATTCCTTTTAATGATCTGATCAGTCTTTTATTCTTACATCTGGTAATCTGAGCAACTTCGTTGAAGATAGCAATGTATAATATAACAACCGTTGTTAATGTCTATCATTTGGTTTGAAACCCTGTACCATTTTTAATGTCCTTGGTCTGTGTTGTCTGTATTTTGCTATTGTTCTTTTTGTGGTACTATTTTCTTTAAAATAAAAAAATAAGAAAAACTTAAGTACCATTCACAACAGAATAAAAATGTCTAGGTCAGTACTACCTCCAGGTTCCAGATCGGAGAATGTAATTGCTCAGTGACTTTTCCCTCTCCATCCCCTACTTCTAAGCTCAAAAGGAGCCATAGGAGTGAATAAAATTTACTGGCCTTTCATCCACTGTTTCTTATTATCCAGAAAAATCTTTCATTCCTCTGAATGACTTCCTCTCTGCCTATGCTCTCTTGGAGATGTTGAGATTAACAAATCAACATGTTTAATGACAGTTCTTATGGCTCTGGCATCTGCAGACACTGTCCCTACTCATGTTGTAATAGAATTGGTCAAAATACAAGTTAATCTTAGACTATTGTCTCAACCATGAGATGCTATAAGGCCTTTAGTTTTGTTTGTTTTGTTTTCTTTTCTGTCAAGTAGTTCTGAAAGGTCTAGGCTATTCTTACGGAAGCCTCATGATCTCTGTGGAATCAAATGTTTCCATAACACTGATGAACAGAATGCAGAGGTCAGAGGAACTGAGCTTCTTATTCTCTTGTCCAGAAGAGATGGGGTTCTCCTAAATCAAGGAGAGCAGCCACAGCTGGACAGAGAACCTCCCAAACACCAGCTTTTACCCATCACCAAGGTCTTAGGAATTCGAAGGGGATTCTTAGAGAGAATGCCCAAACTTTGTAGAAAATGTCCTGGAAGGCAAGGATATTCTCCCAGTACATAAAATCTACCTCAGCATAAAGATTTTAATTTAAGGATTTAAAAGAATTTGCCGTATTTCCAAACTCTTTCTAATCAACTAAAACTCCTTTCTGGACTTCTTTTTTTTGAATCTAGTAAAAATTTGTAAGTGTCCCCAGTTAAAATTTTGCTTAGATCTCCAGCAATTTGTTTCATAGAGCTCGAGATGGATCTGATATTGGATATCCTACTAACACTATTTTTGTGGCCTTCCACAGCGTATATGAACTCCATGTGAACTGGATTATGGAGGGTTCTTAATTAATAGGCAACAGTGTAATATCATTTCCAATATTGCTATATCCTGCCCTAGAGAACTTACTCTGTCTCCTGGAGGTCCCATTGGTCCTGGTGGGCCAGGTAATCCTGGGGTTCCCTACACAGAAAGAAACAAATAAGAGGAATGCTCTAATATATTGCCTATGCATGAAAGAATTCCAGCTGTTCTCCAAAATGTTTATTTTAATAAAATTCAAGAGACTCTGAGAAGAAACCGGAAACCAGAGCCATGCACTATGCCCAGCATACAGATATTTGGTTAACACACAGCTATGACCTGATAGACTAAGACCAGGTATGAAACAGAAAAGACACACAGTACATCTCCAGGCTCTGCTCTGCTGCTGCACCCTGGTTCACCTTCGAAGCAGCTCAGAGACAACTTTCAAACAACACATGACTGGTCAACAACTCACCGTCCGGCCTGGGAGACCTGGCTCACCGGCATCACCCTTCATTCCCTGGCGACCCTGGAGGAAGCAATGGGAAGGCAGTACTCAGACACTTAATCTCAGCATGGAGATAAAGTACAAAGGGGAGAGATATCACTCATGATGGTCCTATCACTTCACAGATCCAATGGAAGGCTCACAGAAGTGGACAGGAGAGAACTTCTGCAGGTAGATGAATAGGCCATTTTGGGGACTGATGCTCATTTTTTAAGCTACAAATGTTGCATGACAATTGCCACTTACGATGTTATGGGATAATTTTATGTAACTGTGGGATAATATACCTTCTTTGAAACTTTAGCATAGTTTAACACAAGAGATAAATGCATTACTTATAAGAACATTTCTAAAAGGTCAAGTAAGTTGCAATAATCATTTCTACACAGCTACATATTATTATATATGATTCACATTTCTAAAATTACCATCATCATAGGACATCATCTCTGTGACTAAACTTGGTGAATTCTCTGTGAAAATATTTGTGCTTGGCAAAATATAGAAAACATTCCAGTTAAACTCAATTCCAATTTAGTAGAGTCTTTGTGCTTACTTGTTCTCCGGGAATAGAGAGCCCATTGGGTCCCTGGGGCCCCGGAGGACCCTGGGGGCCTGGAGGACCTGTATCTCCACGGGGACCAGGAGGCCCCTATAAAAACACAAGAAAAAGACAATTATAAGGGGAGTGAAGCCCTTAGTGCAAACAGTCAGTCATAATTATGATTTCATAATTCTAGGACTTATTCTATCATCTTCCCAAAGGTTTTAGACACCTATACATCTGTGGAATCATTTATTCATGTCACTCTTTCCTACTCTGTATTATTCATTAAAAGAACAACCAGAAAGTACAACAAGCTCACAAGAGCACTTAAATATCCATAAAAGTCCTATTAAAAGTAGATTTTTTATAAAAAGAAAATAAAATATCACATTAATATATTTATATTCATAGATTCATAGGAGCACAAAGCTCAGATATCATTAGTTCAGATTTACAGTGTCCCCCGAAACCAAGGAGAAAGAGGAGATTGTATCACCTGAGGCACTCTAAACCAGATCTGACTTGCTCACGTCACATACCCCTTACTGGGAATTTGAAGAAACAGACTACAACAGGTAGATGAACACTTAAATGAGTTCAAAAATATACTTACAATTGCCCCATTGATACCTCTTTCACCTCGGGGACCTTTAGCACCAGGTCCTCCCTAAAATACATAGAAGAACATATTTTAGTGTAAGCCTAAGAAAAACAAAAAAAAATTGATCTATAAAAGTTACTTCAAGGAGGGCATCATCCTTATAATTAACACTTTGCACAGCTACTAGCAAAACACTGAAGTAAAAATTTCATGTCAGGCCTGGGAATATAGCTCAGTTGTCAAGCAGATCCCTACCATGCACAGGCCCCAAGTATGATCCCCAGCATGGCAAAAAAAAATCGCATCATACAAATACGAGGGAGAGAGAGGATTTCAAAGCTTTGTATATTCCAAGCATCTTGTTTTTAACCTTATGAATTTGTAGATAGCAAAATTTGAAGTTCACTTGAAAAGTTGAGGATTATTGGGAAAAACAAGCATAAATTGAATATAGTAAGAAGAAGAATTTGGGAATTATGAGAATTACATTCTTAAAGGAAAATAATCTCCAAAAAGAAGACTATCTCAAATCTCTCAGAACCTCAGACAGATACTTAAGTAACAGAAATTCAGAGACCACCAACTAAAGACAAAATAAATAGGGTAGTGACATCCAGTAATGTTGCCTCACAACTACAACAAGAAAACTTCTCAAAATATTGACATACCCAGGATATAATTTTGATTATATTCATAAAGCAGGTAAGTCACTGTTACGAAAAAAAGAAAATAGGGTAATCACAGTGACATGTTGATTCTGTATCTCAGAAGCTGCTCTGTAATTAACCTAGAAATCACTTTATTTGCTCTCTTCCAAGTAGAGCAAAATTTGGTGTTCTGAGAATCTGTGAGCAGCTTTCCTGCTGCTGATCCATTTTCTCAGAGAAAGCCAGTAGGATTTAGACTACAGCTGTCTTACTTGCATTTGTCACATGGCCCTGGTTGGTCAGACATTGGGCTGCCTGGATCAAGAAGCTACACACTGATCCATGAGCTTTATCATGGAAATCACCAATATCTCCCTTTCTCTTATGAATAGACTTGGTCTTAATCTTCTCACTCAAGTTTTCTAAGTTCCAGTACTCTCATTCAGAGTTTGTTGGTTTGTCTGTGTGTGTACATTTGATTTGGTTTGGTTTGATTTTTTGATGCAGGGTCTCACTATGTAGTCTAGGCCAGCCTCAAACCCACAATGGAACACAGGCTGACTTCAAATTCACAAATCTCCTGCCTCAACCTTCCGAATGCTGGCATTACAGTAAGTACCCCCATGCCCATCTGACTCAGCTATGATACATGCAGGAATCACCTTCTCCTACGTGATCCTCAAGATGAGGTGCACATGTCCTAGGATCTAAGCAAGTTGTTCTTGGGTCAGCCTCTTAACCGTAGCACTTTCATTCATACAAAAGACTTTCAGCAGGTGTAAGGCATTTTCAAAACCATGTAACAATAGATGGAAACTGAGATTGTTATCTTTACAAGAAAGTCAGCCAATGTCATTGTTCCTGTATAGCTGGAGTAATGTGTCAAATACCAGAATCAAATTTCGTTCAATTTCCTCCAGTTCAGATCTCTAACTATACTACAAAAGATTGCTGCCATTTAGCTTGCACTACCCTAGAAAACATGGATGGAGACATCTTGTGAACTCTATATGGGCAAGTAGGTAATTGCTCCAAAGATTCCAAAATAAAAGGCCAATTTCAGTTTCCTTACTGCGGGTCCTGGGGGTCCTGGAGGTCCAATGCTGTCCTGTGTACATGTGCAAGCATTTGGAAGAGCAGGGCATTTCGCTTCATCTCTCTGAAATTTTAAAAGAATATTTATCTAAGGATTTGAAGAGGGGAGGCTTTCCATTCCCTAAACCACCTCCTTCCACAAGAAAGTTGACTTGAAAAAATAATTACTAATCATCATTATCAACGGTCTTGCAATGGAGCTTGGTTTCCTTCCTTTATATCTCTTTTTATACTGTATAGAGGAAATCACATGCTGCAAAAAATGTTTATGAGACTACCAGGGTCACTGGTAACTGAATCCACTTTTCTATAATCCAGTGTTTACGAAATGCTGTATATCTTGAACATCAACTTCCACTTCACTCAGAAAAAAAATATAAAACCCTTTCCAAACCCTACATGTTCTGTGACACAGCTCTCCACCACCATGCCCATCTCATGACTCTGTTTCACGGTGCTTCTGTCCCGGGGACATGCATAGATGAAGGACCCATGGACGGCACCAGTTTTATATGTCCCTGTCTGTTAAGCATTTTCTTTCCCCTGCCTTTCATCAGAATATCTGCTGCTGTGACCCTAGCACACAGAATAAATACTTGTTCACTCTACAATGCACTTATTTTGTGTGTACATGCAGTTCTTTGAGAAAATTCAATCCCTTCCTCAATGTTCAACTTTGCAAACACAGATACTGTGGGGGAAAACCATCATCTCAAGAGGAAATATTACTTATATCATCTTCAAAACCTTAGCTATCCAGAAAGGTGACTTTTTCTTCTATAAAGTGTTGATATTTTATAAGCAGAAAGGTTTTGCAGTAAATAATGTTTATCAGACACACTGACTCAGCAGGATTACTTTGACTACTAGAGAGAACTTCCAGATAAGTCCTGTGCATTCCTCACTTGTGAGGGAGGGTAACTCGGGCGCTGGCTTGGGCTGTGGATCCTGAGGAGCAGGCACACATGTGAGTCCCTTGGCTCCAATCCAGAAATGCAACTGCTGAGTGCTACTTCCTTTCTCTCAAACCATCTGTACCACAAAGGTTATCCCTGTTGTAGCCCATAGGATCCTTCTGCTGTACTTACCCTAGAAGGAATATCACAGCATCTGTCTCTGCTGGTCCACACGGGACTGCAGACAATGTCAAAACTCTGAATTTGGAACTGCAAAGAAACAACAGCAACATCAGCCAAATATGCATGAAAACCATTTCCTTTTAGTGTTTCTGCAGTTAACCTTTGTTGAGTTCTCACACAAACCCTTGGGGGAGAGCCCTTGTGAGCAATGTGACCTTTTCTTCACAAGGGAAGAACATAAAAATACACTCCTAGGAGAGACAGCGAAGTGAAGTGCATGGGTGAAATTCCAACTCCTGATTCATTTCTTTGGTTAAAATGAAATGGTGAATAAATTTTGTTTTTTTAAGAAAATATTAACTTTTCTATTGAGAAGAATTTGAAGACCAAGCACATTTAAATCAATTTTTAAGATACAGCCTTTGTAGAAAAGTAACATTAAAGAAACCCTTCTACACTTAATCTAAATGGATGTACTTTTGTTTTAGAAATTTTTACCTAGGGGTTGACTAATAACTTTCCTCCTGGTCCTCAGTTTAACTTTCTCAATATAGTATATCCTCTTTCTACAGTTTAAAAATATCACTCGACAAAAAGGAAAAGGTTGTATAGATATAACCATTCGTGTAAAAAAAAAAAAACCTGATATAATTGTCCTTTTTTCTTATTAAGTCCAGTATTCAACGAAAAGTTTGGGTCTTAATCAAAATCATATTAAATTTGATCCATGTCTATATTGTAAACCAAAAACTTTCCCTTTTGAATCTAGAAGATTCAGATTTGGAAGGAAGCTAAATTAAATAATGACATAAAAAGTAATAAGAAAAGCCAAAGAAATTAGCTTAGCTCCTAGTGTAGGATTTATTAATCAACATTTAATATGAATTTAGTTAGTTTGATTCCACAAAAGCTTTACATTTTTGAGTCTTTATAACTAGATCACATTGTGACTAGAATTGGCCAGTCCTTGCCTTAAACTTGAGAGTAAGGTGTTGTCTAGCAACACTGATCCCTCTGGGACAGACCAGCCACTGCTTGGTGATTGGACACCAGCTGTAGACACAGTCATACCTAGTGTCCACATTACAAATTTGCATTACCAATCATCATCTTAAAAAAAATGAGCAAGTGTTTTAGATTTCACTGGATAAGCTGGCAACTATTTGTGTTGTTTCTAACCAACAAATATGATGGCTTAAAACTCAATGAGTAGGGGCTGGGGATTTAGCTCAGCGGCAAAAGCGCCTGCTTGGCAAGCGCAAGGTCGTGAGTTCGGTTCCCGGTACTGGAGAAAAAACCAAAAAAAACAAAACAAAACAAAAAAACTCAATGAGTAAAACATAAATAAAACTCACTGAGCTATTTTGAAAGTTTCAAGTCTATTCTTAACACAAGGTACCAAGCAATACCGAAATGCATTACTTACTGTGGCTGATTTCCTTTCACCTTTAAGTAGTTTTCCAAGAATTTCATAACCATCAGTTGTGATATTTCCAGCTTCCTTGATGTCTTTTTCTATAATTTCATAGCAGTCAATGTAAATCTTAACACTTTTTGAAGTCACTACAATATGAACCTAAAAAGATAATTTGTTTCCATTGTAACATTTCTGCCAAAAAATTAGCTGAATTCTGCATATCTCAGATTACAGATTTTTTCAAAAAATATTTATGAAATCATTCTCAACCCAAATGAACAGTCTTGGACTAAAAATCCAAGAACTAGGTTGCAATGTCAATGATGTCTCTATTAACAGCAGGAAAAGCAATAAACCTGAGAATCTCTCCTGGTCTCGGTTTCCATCATCCACACATATAACCATCCTTCCTTATTTTCCCTCTACTTATTCTTAAGGAGATGACCAGAAATGATTAATAGATAAAATGACTGTAAACTATGAAGAACTATCTAATCAGAGGCTAAAAAACCATTTACATATTATACTCAGTACAAAAGAACCTCAGATGTTTTCTACCAATTTTGCTAAATTAAGTGTTTACTTTATTTCCCAATGTCAACCAAAAATAACCTACATATCATATAAATATCTATCACAGTAAAGAATCAGTGTGTCCTCTATAGCATCTCAATTCTAGGAATCAATAGGATTCAGGATCAAATTCTTTTTAAGGAGAGAAGCTTATGCCGATTTATTTTGTGTCTGTTACTCAACACACACAGAATACTAAGAAATCTATTCATATAAATAATCAAAAGACATTTGTACTTCAACAATGTAAAGAATAGTTGTGGGTAGTCTTTGGCTTTATGGTTATGTTCATAGTTTCCACTTAATGCAAATACTCAACTAAGCACTTGATGATTACTTTGAAAAGTCTGGCAGAAAGTTAAAAGCAGCAGATATTCTCTCAGATGTTCCAAGTCAAGAAGAAGAAGAACAATTTCAAAAGTTTCACTTTAAAACGAAACATTTTTCCCACATGGAACCACCAGGAAAACATTAGTTTATCACATCTATGATAAATATGAATTATATAGTATTTTTATATGCAAATGGTACATAACTTACTGAAGTTTAAATGCCCTCAGGGTAATCAACTAATACTGTGTTCAAGATGAACATCATACAAGTATTTTCAGGGTTCTTATTGTCAAATTAGAATATGTAATACAACAATCACTGTTAATTGTTATCCTTTTGTTCTGAAACCCTGTATCATTCTTATTGGTTCTGCTTTGTTTTATTTTTGTCTATGTTGCTGGTATTTTGCTATTGTTCTTTTAAAATTTTTATTATTATTCTCTTTAAAATAAAGAAATAATTAGAGCTCTTTATCGGCTCTTAGATAAACAATCACAGAAGCAAAGATTTGCAAAGTATGTGGAAAACCACAGCATCCACAAAAATAATTTCAAGATCAAAACTGCTTTAATTTATATCAAAATCATCCAAATACACTTATCATTCAGTGCTAGGCATAAAGAAGCACATTCTATAAACCTATTTTGCTGTAACTCACTCAGTGTACTTTATTGTACTTTAATCGTATGCAGTCACATCTTCCTTGGAAGACCACTGTCACTATACTTGGGGAAGTCAGCTTAGGGTAGTCACCATCAAACTCTGTGGGTCATAGACAGTAGAAGGAAATAACGATCCTCTTGTCACTCCCCTCCTTTCAGGGCTCAGCCAATTCCTCAGACTATATTTTTTACCTCTTCTAGTTCTTACCCTGACTGTAAATTTCCCATATGGAGCTACCTCACCTCTTAACAATAGAGAGAGCCACAAAAGAAAAAAGCTTTTCAAGAGAATTCACAGAAGTGATGACTGTCAGCCTAATTAAACTCTAAGCTATAGGGGGTCTATTCCCTTTCATGGTCACTAATTTTCTGTTCTCAGGCTACCACTCATTACCAAAGAACTTCAGTCCGTGAAACAGATGGAAATAAGAGTACTTTAATCCTTAGCTTGGTAAAAAACACAAGTAGTTGGTAGCAACTGAAGATCGTACTTGACTGGTGGGATAAACGAGAGGAAGTGAAAAGAATACGGGGTGGGGTGTTGCATACTTGCAATGAGCTAAGAGCCCAGACACACACAGTGCTCCCCCTGGATATATTAATTAGCTTGATTATAAAGATCATCTCATAATATTTACATACATTGAAGCACTTCCTCTTATACCTTGAATAGATGCAATTTTTTTATATCAATGACTTCTCAATAAAGTTGTTTTTTTTCAAAAGGAATGAAGCCAGACATGGTAATACTCCCTGCAATCCTAGCACTCAGGAAGGCTGAGTCAGAAGAATAGAAAATTTGAGCCCAGTCTGACAACTTAGTAACTTAAAGACATCTTGTCTCAAAATATTAAGAGGTCAGGATGTAGCTCAGTATAAAGGCCCTGGGTTCAATCCCCGGTACCACACACACACATGGAAAATAGTGAAAAAGGAAAAGAGAAAATAAAACAGAACAGATTATGAGGGGAAAAAGGAAGGAAAACTTTTGGGGAAAAAAGCTAGTAGAGAAAGAAGGATCATTATATAAAACCCAAGAATGCAAATAGCTCTTTGGAAAGACAAATAGTAAAGAAGATGTCAAAAAATTACCTTTATGTGCAATAATTCATTACTATCACTATAGACTTGTGAAAAATACTGTCTTTGGGGGTAAGTAAAACACTTCATAAAAGATGGAAAGTTTTAAATAGCTACTAATGGTTATCAGTTGTTTAGTAAGACTAGCTTCTCGGTATCTCTAATTGGTATGAAAGGAAAACTAAATCGGCTTTCTCAGCAAGGTACTCAAATGTAAGTTTAATAAGTGTAAACAGCTCTTAACAACTTGGCCAAATTCAACATCTACTATCAGATAAGGATCAACAGAAGCCAATAACATTCTCTAAACTACAATTTGCTCTCCCAATGAGGAATTTATTTAACTGCACTACACGGAAATCTAACATTTTAATCTCAAGTATGTAGAGATTTTTTTTTTTTCTCCCTGCTTTGGTTAGCACCAACATCCACAACATTGCTTCTTGGAGTTGTATGAAGAGAGTTCTCTACTATCCTTACTAAGAATCTGATTCATGCATCTTAAAAATTTCTAGAAAGAAACCAAGTTTCCCTAAAAGTGGAAATAGAAATCATGCTGAACCTCATCAAAAAGAGGCAAGTTTTTCAATTTTACCTTATGAATTAGATTGAACTGGAAATATGTATCTCTTATGTATGGTGCTAATCTTTCTGCATAGTGTAACTGGAGAAATTTTGGACCACATGTGAACTACCTGGCATTCTTGTTAACAAATCTATTACATGAAGAAATATCATTTAAAAGTCTCCCTCTCATTTCTAATGCTCTATTTATCAATGTTCTTGTGAATAATCATCTTTAGAAAAATATCTGCTAGATACTGACATACAAAAAAATAAGGTCTCCAAGAAGAAATAAGCCATTTGAATGCATCTTGGAACATTCAACAAGAACTTTTAGAGAATTTTGCATAAAACTTAACCTCATAAACATTTATCTTAATTATTTCAATAGATATTGGTAATTTTTGAACTGATAACATATTTCACTGGCATGTTTATAAATTTTCAATAAAAGATCAAGAAAAACAAGGCTCCTGTTCTCTATAAAAAATAATATTATCAATTCAAATATATTACACTAAATTAATAAACTTCCCAAATGAAATAACAAATATCCATAATACAGTGGTAAGTAGAAAAACAAGTCAGCGATAGCATATACACTATCTGAGTCAAATTTTAAAATTATGAAAACATCGAAAATATGCAAACATGTTTAAATTAGTTACCTTCTCACTAGTAGAATTACTGTCTTATTTTTAATTTCCTGAGGGTTTTGCTCTCTTTGTTTGTTTTTGGAGACAAGTCTCACTATGTAGTTCAGGTTGGTCTTGAGCTCACTTTGTAGCTAAGGCTGGCTTTGACCTCATGGCGATCCTCCTGCCTCAGCCTCCCAAGTGCTAGGATTACACATGTATGCTACCATGCCCAACTAATTTTCTGTTTTGAATTCATCAAATTATGTAAAATGAGATTTTAAAGACATGGCCAGGATTCCACCAATTTAACATGATATCTTATTAAATAATAAAAGAAATTAAATTTTTAATTTGTGCTCTTTTTCCTAAAAGTAAAACTCAGATAATCTTACATTTTTACCTTATGAAAACTTCCGTAGAATAATGTCTTTACTTCATCCATGTCAAATGTGACAGTCTGTATCTCTCCTCTTATATCTTTGTTAAAGAACGATAAGGTCTTGCTGGAAGCTGCAACCAACATAAGGTTGTGTTAAGTCACATGTATGGAAGACTGGTCACTGAAAGTATTAGCAAACAATTCTTATTGAAGAGATTTCTTTAAAAACTCAATAATTTTAATGGTGATGAAATACAATTAGACTTTTTACTGTTGTATTATATTTGAAAAACTTTAAACATAAAAGCATATACGTACTAAGTAAATATAGTGTGTTTGTGTGTGTGTGTGTGTGTGTGTGTGTGTTCTAGAGAGAAAAGAGGAGGAAAAGAAAGAACATAATTGAAACTATGCATGCATGTGCCTTAAAAATGGATGAAAATCCTTACGATCTGCAATCACTCCAACTTGTGGTTTGTAGTCTCTGTCTGTAATTTGCCAAATTGCGAAAGGGTCATTGGGTGTTTCTGGGAGAAGTCTAAACAATAATATAATTGTGTACGAAGGTGGGAGTCCATTTGGATGTACATCTCTGTTGGATCAAACAAATGAAGCAAATAAATAAACAGTGATGATTTTTCTTAAGAAATTGAGATGGTTTTAAATCTTTAAAACCATCGCACTCACATTACAAGTATTAGAGGCTGTTTATAATCATCTACCTCTGCAGCAGAAAATTTTAGGAAACATATTAAAACAAAAACTACTAAAGGTCCATTATGTCAGTAGAAATAGATTTTTTTTTGGTCTTTTTTTGAGACAGAGTCTTACTATGCAGTTCAGGCTGGCCTTGAGCTCACTTTGTAGCCCAGGCTGGTCTCGAACTCACAACAATCCTCCTGCCTCAGCCTCTTGAGTGCTGGCATTGCAGGCATGAGGCACCATGTCCAGTTTAGCAAGAGATTTATAATTTGATGCAATCCAAAAGTCTAGGAAGCTATCAAATAGTCTTCTATCCTACTATTGGTAACTAATTTTTTCTGAGCACAGAGGGTTAAAAAATAATGCAGTAATTTTAGGCTAATAAATAGTATAATGATAGACATCATGTAAAGAGAATGCATCCTACCAAATATACTGTACTTAATTTTCAGTGTCAGGGTTGTGAGAGCATAGGTAAAATGACTGGAGGTTTTGATTTCTCTCACCCTATCACTACCAGTTTTTACACTTCCAAATTCCTCCCTGGAAATCAACTAATCAGTGCTAGAAGCTTCCACATTCTCCAAAATAAAACCAATTGTAAATGGTCTGTTGGACCATGCGCATGTGTAAATGTTTCATGCTGACAAATGGATGTGACTCAGTTAAAAGGAAATGCTTCTTGGCTCTAAGGCTGTGAGACAAAAGCTTCAGTCCTCTGTGTCCCTCCAGAGTTGAGTCAACCACTGTTTTTACGGAACCTTTGGCAGAGATGATGCTTCTCTGCCTGAAACCATGTAACACTTTCTCCCTGAAGGTAGGAAAAAGGCCTAGATAATCAGCTCTAAGAGAAAAGAAGCGATTTCTCTTCAAATTTTGCCAGAAGGCACAGCATTGTCTTTTGAATCCAGCTACATTCCCAAGCTTTTTTCACTTTTTATTTTGAGATTGAGTCTAAAGTGGCCATGCTGGCCTCAAACCTGCGATCCTCCTGCCTCAGACTCCTGAGTAGCTATGATTACAGGCACAAACCTCCATGTCCTAATGCTGTATCACTTGTTCAGTGTTGTCTTGCTTCTTTGAATGTGCTCTGAGCAAGCTGACATGGTGCCTTTTAGATGTTCAAGAACCACTGCATCTTTGTAATGTTCTGTGTTAAGAATACTGTCTCTATTGTCTCATCTCTGATTTAACCAATTTTCTTCTTCTTCCCTAATTAGTGCTTATGAAAAAAATAATAATTTGTTATTTTATTAATGCTTCTCTTCTTTCAGTCAAAAGTGCTGACTCCTGTGAGGATACCAGGCTATCATAAGGCAAAATACGGGAGTCACATCTTGAGGTGACTAAAAAAGTTGAACACCCTGGGTGTTAGGGTCCACTGTGAACCAGGTAGAGTGGGGGCTTAACGGTGTTGTCAAACTCCACCATGATCTGCACCTCCTTAAAAGAAAGAAGTCTTGGTTTCAAAAGTTTGACTCTTCCCTCAGCTTCCCCAGAGCGTTTCAAATTTCAGACACTGTTTCCCGACACTTTCCTGAGTCTCTGAAAGCATCAGTTCTTCTCCTTTTTCTTCTCTCTCCATGAATTCCCAAACGAATAACTTTCAACACTCGCACTTTCATTGTAACAAATAAGAAATACATACCTCTGTTATTGTATCCAGGTGCAAAGGCTCACGGGAGTGGAGGAACAACCCGGAGAACTCCCAGCAGATTGGCTAGACTATTAACCAATAAAAACCACCCGCCACCCGCTGACTCTGGATGAGCAAAACTGGGGCAGCCCTGATTTTCCTAGAGCCCGAGGGGAAAGCCTGGTCTCATTCTCCATTTCTTCCACCCAGTCTTCTGTGCCACGAGCGAGTGTTCAGAATAATAAGCCTCCTTCCTGTTTTGACAGTCTCCCTTAGAAGCTCGACTACCACCACTCTAGCCTCACACTCAACAGGCCCAGGAACCTGTCTTGCTGAATGCCAGGCTGAGATTCTTGAGTCTGGGAACAACGAGGCTTGCGTACTAGTTTCCTGCATGCGAACTGTTAAGTAACTCAGTGAACGATAATTAAGCTAACTGCATTTAAGGAAACCGAACTACGTCTTCCATAAGGAGGTGCTGACAATCCTGCAGTTCCAAGATGCCCTGAAATCGGGGCAGATTCCAATGACACTCTTGCCTGCTCTGGGAAAAGGAGTGCCTCCTGCTTTTTCACTTACGCGGTGGGCTGGTGCACAAAGGCGTTCTTCTGCAGCCGAAAAGCTGAGTAGCTGGGGAAGGACCCCGACTCCAAAGAGACTCCTTGTACAGAAGCAAAACTCTTTTCTGTCAGGTTGTAAGCTTCAAGCATCTTAAACCCTTTACACCAGAGAAGGAATGACTTCAGTGAGTGCACTTTAATTTAATTATCTTATTCCTTAAAGCTTCAATAAATTAGCCCCAGAATAAAAACACATACCTGGTGAAGTGTATCCATCCAGATAAATGAGAGGACAACCTGCAAAGAACGAGGGCTTTAAGGAGAGCTCACCAACACAACATACAAGCACAGACACACAGGAGGGACCGATGGACGCGCACCAAGTCAGGAAACCGCTCATCTAAAATAATTAACAGTCTAACCTTTAGGAGTTATTTAAAAGAGATTTCTTGTAGGTAGAAAACATTACCCCATTAACCAGTGTAACACAGGTTTTCTGAGTGCTCTCCAGTCCACTTGGAAATTTGCTACGTGTGGAAGAATAATAAAACGGAATTCAGGATGCAATTTCACCTATATTTCAACAGATCAGAAAACTTCTTTCCTGGAGAATTTCAGATTTATGCAAAGAGTTCATCCATCCCAGTCTCTTTTCTGCCAACCTTCCATCCCTCCTTCAGGCCACCAGACATCACCTAACAGTGACATGTAGGTAGCAGCCTTCACCCTTGACTTCCTAGAGCCAGGGTACCACAGCCACCTTTAGTGGCCTTGGCCCATCCCACTCTACCCACTGCTGCTCTATGCCAGGCTTCATCATAAGCTGTCATAGTAAGCCACCAAATCTGTCTGCTCCTGCCACAGCTAACCACAGTTTTCAATTTTTAGTGTAACATTGAATAGTTTGAAATATCGCACTTGTAGTAAAGCATAGCCCTGCCTAGGATTAGAGGTCCTATCTGTCATCTACCCTTCTCCATTATCAAATACTCCAAGAACTGGGTAAGAAAGGAGAGAAACTGACTTCGTTTATCTTCAGTCCTCACTGTACTTTAAAAGCTAAACCTGAAGTCCTGGCATATGAGAAATTGAAACCCAACAGACAAATGAGAATCAGCTGACTATCAGGGATCCATATAGACACAAGCTAGAGTTTTCATTGCACCAGGAAGCACACTCCTAACAGAGAGCACTGGGAAAACAGGCAAGGGTATGTTTAAATACTTTATCTCCATACAAGGCATGTCATATCTTCAAAGCTAAAAATGGGCTTCTGATGAGTACATCTTTAGCATGAGCCCAATGGAGCAATGATTCATCAGGAGTTCAGATAATTTCCCAGGAGTTACTTCGGCACAGACCTGATTCCATATAGAATGAGTAATTGTTTCCAAGTGAACATTTTTCTACAAGTGAGACTATGGATCTGTGCTAACCACAACTTACTTGAAGTAGCAGTTTCACAAACAAATGTGATGAGGTTGTCCTCGATTTTCTCAAAGGACTCGAAGTCGTCCACAATGAACACGTGCCGCTCGCTTGGTCTGCTGGCAATGTTGGCCAGCTCGTTGTAGTCCACATCAGCCACGCCGACCACAAAGACACTGAACCCTAAAAAGCAGCAGTGATTGTTAGAACAATTCAACATAAACTCTGTTTAGAAAGGGTACTCTATTTTCTCAGCATGCACAGCAAACCCCTTTATTGGACACGAACTCTCTTTTATGGTTGAAGATGTGCCTTTTCATGAATGTGTACTTTTCCCAAGTCATCTATCTCCTGACTTATAACAGTCAGTTCACTGGATCTCCCAAAATAAAACCCTAACAATTAAAAGCTGAAGCTTTTAATAGCAAAAAGACCTTACGCGGTGCACATCGCCTTCCAGAGATCCTCAATGCTGACATACAAATGAATTATGTAGCTTTCTTTGTGACTCAGACTCCAAGAATGAGCTATTTTAAAGCTGAATTCTTGAAACTGATTTTTCTCAACAAACTTGGACTCAACCTTCAAAATAGAATCCACAGCTCCCACAGGCAATAAACATTCCTTTATTTAGGTTAATACAAATATACACAGTTTTCAATCCAAAAGCTTAATTTGACATCAGAAGAAAATAGGCTATATATGAAATTAGGAATGTAGATAATATATATAGTTATAATATATAATTAATAACATATACTGATTTATATTAACTAGAGAAGTAAGCTTTTATAACCCCAAACTTAAATTGGCTAGGGGCCAGAAAATATGCAGAAATTGGCTCAAAGTATATAAACTGAGTGGCAATAAATTATAAAAAAAGAACAATCTCCAATGAAAGAAGACAGTATGACACAGCACAATTCATAATTTTAGCCAAAGAATTATGGTTGTGCAGATGGTGAATTCCGTGTAATGAAATACTTTACCATCTACTGCAATAGATCATGCACAGCACAGAATTCTTCCTAAAATATGTCTACGTTGGGCACAGCATGAATAGTAGGGGGAGGCTGGATATTGAAGAGGCCTACTTTCCTCTCTAATAAGGCAAGACCTAGCCAGAGGTGTCTCCCTATCTGCCATGCACCTTTCAGCAACCTGCAGCTGCAAGATTAGCTAGAGCTGCAAGAACTACTTTCAAGATTGATTCTGCTAGAGCAAGAAGTCATCTCTATCATCCCATTGTTCCATTATCAATTTCTTATAGCCCTCCAGCACTCTGAGGAGACTCAGTTTACCTCTCAACAAACCCCAAATCACACCTGATACAAACAATACACCATATCATTCTTGAGCAGTTACTGAACTATGCCATAATTAAATGTAAGCTGGCCGTGCAGTGCTATAGGACACAAAATAAACAGAACAAGAAAGTAAAATGGGCATTTTCAGCTTTTGCAATCATTCCTGACCATTGGAAATTCACAATAAAGAGCGCAATCAAACTCATGCCTGGGATTACCTGACTGTTGGATGACAAAAGCCGCCTTCTTGACCTCATCCTGTGACCGACCATCTGTGACCACAACCAGGACCTTGGGGACGTTCTTTCTCATGCCGCTTTCCCATGTCAAGACCTTCTCCTTGATAAATGTGAGGGCCTTGCCTACAGAGTGTGGCAATTTAGTATCACCTCAGTGAAAACTATCCCACCACAACCCGCCACGCCCCACTGATCAGCAAGCATCCAGACATGAGAGTGACACGATGCATTCAGTCCTGCCCCTGCTGATTTGGAAAGTGAAGGTCTATGGATGCTCCAATTATCCATACCTGTCCTCGTGTTGCCTCCTCTGTACCTAATATTCTGGAGGGCCCCAAGGGCCAGGGACTTGTCATTGTACGTGTTCAGCTTGAACTCGGACTTGACCTCATCGCTGTACTGCACAAATGAAACCTGAAAGGAAATGTGGGTTAGAACTGTCTTACATTTCAGTCTTGGGATGACTCCTCTAGCTGTAGAATTGGGAGAGGGGCGTCTTAGATCTGATGGAATACTATAAGCTCATTCTAGGTAGTACTACAGCCTTGGTTGCTGTTGCCTCATTAAATTCTCTAATTTCCAATATTCAATGAAATTGTGACTGATACTAATCATGAAAATATGTTTCATTCCTATGTGCCTTTGTTGAAGATGCAGAAAGAGATAGGCAGGCCTGGGGAATAGTGAGATCTCAGCATTGGAAATAACCTACCATCTGGAGCCCAAAGTTGGTTGATCTGTTGGTTCTCAGTCAACTGCTCCTTCTCACTGACTGCACTCATTCTTCATAACATAAAAGGGTTGTATGTGTGACACTAATCTTAATGTCACTAAGTATACTTAGTGACCATGTTTTACAAAGAATGCAGGCTTTGTAGTTAAAATTCATAGGACTCAAACCTTAGCTCTGTCAACTAATAGCTACAGGATACTGGCAAAGTTCCCTAAATCTTTAGGCAGTAGAGATAATTTACCTATGAGGGGTGTTTTAAGGATTAATAGTTACACATATAAAGTAACTGATGCATAAAAATTCATAAAGTTCCTAAATTAGAAAGCTTAATATCTAAACAGATGCAAAACAGCTTAACTATTCACACACTGAGAATATAGACTTTTTTAATCTTATGTTTAAACAATGTCCACAGGATTATCTGGGAATTTGCAATGCAGTATACTCAATAAAGTACTATTCCCTAAAGATAGTGTGGCTTGTTTGGGAAATTATTTGTCATTTATTTCAAAGATTCTATTTTGTATAACATCATCTCAAAGATATCACAATGATGTAAATTGGCCAATACGAAGAAGAAAATTCACTAAAATTAATAGGGAAGAAAAAGAAAAGTTAATTTCTTTAAAAGATTGCATCTTTTGAAGAAGGTCAAGTGCATAATAACATAATTGTATCTTTTAAAGAAGATACAATTAATCAAGTGCACATTTATCAAGTGCATAATAACATAATTGTATCTTTTAAAGAAGGTCAAGTGCATAATAACAAAGTACAGCGATATCTGCTGTAATAATAGCACAAAATACATCAGGAGTGTAGAATGCCTTAAGCTATCAGGTAGCCTCTCCGAGATTGTTGGATCCTGAAGTGTCTCTTCAAGGGTATGGGATCCAAGAAATCATGAACAGTATTTTTAATCAGACTACTAAAAGAGTCTGGGAAGACCACCCCAAACAATTTAGACCCACTAGGCCTGAGTATTCCTCAGTCCAGGGTGTGTTGGGACAAGTGGAGATTCTTGACTTTGCAGGAAGGTTAGCACTAAAGGATAAAAAACTCGTTTAGCCTCTCATGGAAGCATAAACCTAAGTTCCTTTTCTCCTGTAACTAATGCATTTGAAGTGATTTCACAGCAGTATAATTGGTAGGTTCCATTTTTGGAAAACAAATAAAGTATCAATAGTGAGCAGGATAACACCTGACACATAATATGTAGCAGGTTCCATTTTCCCACCCCACTCTCTAAGGAGCAGGACAATCACATGCATCTGGTATCCAGAACTTTGGATGACCTTTTATGGAAATTATTGTTGGAAGTTTTAAGTAGGAAGTTGGAATCAAGAATCCCATAAATTCTCCAACTGGAATATCATCTAGCCAATAAGAAAAACTAGAAGAAGATTTAGTTTTGTATCTATTTATCATTCACACCCAATTCCTTCCCCAAAACACACATATAAAGGAAAGAGACAAGAGTGAAAGTCAAAACACTTACAATGCAAGTTCAGAGAAAACAGCAAGATACCACAGATGAGTAGTCACTGGTAGAATGACACCCACCTGGATACCAGCAGGACTGACTTCATCAAAGGCTCCCACAGTGTTGAAGATGAATTTCACAACTTTGTTAAAGTTATCATCTCCAATGCTCCAAGAGGCATCCGTCAGGAACACAATATCTGCCTTGGCTCCTTTGCATACTGGAAAAAAACAGAGTTCTTTTTAATTCTTTATCCAAATGACACTGCATGACTGTGAAATGCAGGAGGCCACCTTGCTACTCATGATGTTCAGGTGGCATCTGCACAGCCTGGTGTGGGTCAGGAGGGCAGAATCGCTGGCCTCACACAGACCTCCCGAGCCAGCATCAGCAACAGTAAGATACCCAGGGACTCAGATGTAGCATAAATGTGAGGCGCACTGGTCTAACTGACCCTAGATTCTTGCTCCAAATTACTCATCTGTTTAGATCCACTTTGTAGAAACGCCCTTGCTTCACAAAACTCTCCAAGTATCTTCACCCAATAAATGAGAGAGAAATCAAATGAAAAGCAGTGATGTCCAGAAATGAAGGAGGGCCACAATGGGGCTGGAAAATTTGAATGCAATTATCGAAATTTGGTGAAAATCAAATTGTTTTATATTGTGAGTTTGAGTGTGTTTGTGGTTGTGGCTATTTCTTCCAGTCTGTTCTATTGATCCTCAAACTCATAATTTAAAATAAAATTGATTTTCACCAAATTTTGATAATTGCATTCAATAACCACTTTGAAGATATCATTATGTAATACAACAACCATTGTTAACTTCCCATCACCTTGTCTGAAATTCAGTATTGTTTGTATTGTTTTTGTGTTATTTTGTAAATGTACGTGTGTTCATTAATATGTTTTTGTTCTTTTGTTTTTAAAATAAATAAATTATGAGTTTGGCCCCTACAATCATAAGTGGGGGAGGAGAGAATACATGAACTATTTTGAACAAAATACTTTCAACAAAATATCTTAAGTCTGAATCTTTGTAGGCTTAGAAGCTAAGGAAATTCTAAAATAATAATTCATAAAGATTATGAAAATTTATGAAAATTTTATGTTTTCATAAATTTATGAAATTTTCAAGTTTATGAAAATTTATCATATACAATGTACAACACCAAGCATGAACCCTGAGGTGAACTATTGGACTTTGGGTGGTAATGAGGTGTCAATGTAGCATCATCAGCTGAGACAAATGTACTGATCAGAGCGGAACATTGACAGCTGAAGAGACTGAGGTCATGAGGTGGGGCAAGCAGGTACAAGAGGACTTTATACTGTGCTCAGTTTTGCTGTGAGTTTAAAACCTACGCTAGAAAATAAAGCCTACTAAAAATTGTCCCTTAGCCAAGATTATTTACTGAATTTCTTTCAGCAGCCTCATTTTTAAAAACCTACTATTATGTGACCCTTTAATAATACACATTTAATTTTTAAATTATACTTCTACAACAGGTTTAATAAAGTTATCACATCTAGATTCTTCTAGTCTGAGAGAAAAATACTTCCAAAATCTGAAATGATTTCTGGAGAACAAAATGTGGGAAAGAAAGACTCATTCTTCAGGAAGAGCCCCGAAGAATATCCCTCAAATTGGGTGAAGTAGCTCAATCTGTCCTTTTATCAGTTCATTGCAACTTACACTTATGTCTCAAACTTTGGTGAATGGAAATTTTTTTAGCTTTGTGCAATCCAGAGCCCTTCTCAGGTTAGAAGCCAGGAATTCCAATGTCGAAGGCTGAAGGGATTTAGTTGCAGATATAGCAAAAAAAAAAAAAAAAGGTTCATGGCACCTGTCAATGCCAGGAGCCAGCAGGAGGAAATGCTCGCCGTGTGACTATGGACTGTGGAAAGTATCACTGGGTCTTAATCTGCAAAATTGGGAAAACGGAGTTCCAACCAAAGAGCTGGAATGGTTTATGACTGATTTGATTCATACCAAAATGTGCCCTGGGAGGGAGAGGAACAGACTCCTGGTGATCTTTTCTTTCTACCAGAAAACTCTTGCACAGAAATAAAACATCGGAAATGTCCCAGCTCAACAGTGAAGAGTGTATGCAGCATGACTAGTAAGTTTGTAAATCCTTGACAGCTGAACCCGCATCCTGGTTGGCTGTACTTACCATCCCGGGCGGGTGGAATGGTGGGAGGAGGAGGCGGTGTCGGTGGTGCGGTGGGAGCTTCTGTGGGTTTCACAGCTAGAATTTAAAAGTAATAATGAGAAAAATACAACATGTGCACATTTCCTATCCCAAATAGTAAATTTTAACAGTAAAGTCAAATCCTCAGTAACAAAGCAAGGCTACCATGCCCTTGGCACCAGAGATTTGGTTCTGGGCAAACTTGGTATCTATGATCACCATTCCCTGTAAGTACAGACACATGGAGCAAAGACTCAAAGGGAGACCATGAGGTATTCAAGGCAGGTCACATAAAATTCACTACGACAGACGCACGCTCAGATTACCCCTGTCCACTAGAGTCACCTCACCCCTCTTCAGGTAGCACCAACCCTGCCTGTAACAGGGAGTTGCTGCCATGCCAGGCTCCACCTGCCACCACCCACGGCCATTGGGACCCAAGGGGAAAGAGCAGCCTCGGGCTCAGGAAGTTCCCTCCCTATAGCTTCCACTTTAACCCCATGGAGACCTTCCTGATTAGCCAAAACTCACTGGTATGTTCTCTGACAGGGACTCCCGGCCCCTCAAGATTGGGTGTCTGCACAAAAACAGTGACGCCATATTCAGCTTCGGGGGAGAGACCAGTGAAGCAGTGGCTGGTTTCTGATCCCCGCACTGTGATTTCCTGTCCTCTTGTTCCTGATTGCAACAACAAAAGGAAATGCAAGGGTGACCATCAGTTATATCTGAAGACATTTTGCATATCACTTCATATATGAAATGAAATCTCTTTACTGAGATTCCGAATGTTCCCTCTATGTGCTCCAGCTCTGCTTTTTTGTTTGTTGGTTTTTTGTCTTTCTGGTTATTTAAACATACATACCATCTGCAGGGCTCAGCTTTAGCCTGTAGGAGGTAGCTGCCCGATGAGGTGACCATTTGACACAGAATGTATCCCACCCAACCTGGTAAGTTTTCAGATCTGTCACATTTAAATACACTACAAAATAAAGAAAGAAAGAATGAGATTCACTTTCTAAATAAAAGCAAAAGGCCATACTTCTGATCATTACACAATTTTCAAACTTCCACTATGGCTGAAAAAATAAAAGCTTAAAAGCTCAACGTTTCAATAGGAGCTATATCAAATATGCATGACAGTGTAGCAGAGCCAAAACAAAGCTTCCTTTGCTTCACTAATTTTCAAGGAAGGAGAATTCCATACAGTCCTTGGAAACTGAGTGTCAAAGACATCTCATGAAGAATAGTACATTTTTCTGAAAGGGTATCTCCTTATTTAACAAAGCACTTGGTGACAATGAAATGGCCAGGCATAATGGTACAGCACTGTAATCCCAGCCCTTGGGCGGCTGAAGCAGGAGGACTGCCATGAGTTCCCATGAGTTCGAGGTCAGCCTGAGCTCAAACTCCCTTTGAGTTCCCTTTGAATGCATAGGGAATTCAAGGCAAAAAATCTGAACTACCTCGTGAGACCCCGTCTCTAAAAAAAAAAATCTATCATGGGCCAAATCAGTGTTTCAAATATTCACAAATTATATCCATAAATGCAGGTAATATATGCCTTAACACCAAATGCCAAGAAAACTATGATCATCATCAGATCTTTCATGAACAAAATGACAAATTCTGTAAGTTTTGTCTTTCCCAGTTCAAACTACAATATTCTATGTCGAACAATTTCCACATCATACATTTTCATATATTCAATTACTTATGGATTTAGATAGACATTTTGGTAAACTGGTCACAGAATGACCTACCTACATAATGCTAAACAAATAGGCATACATTAAAACAACAAAAACAGACTGGCCCGGCAATTTTTCCTACCCATTTTCTTCCATCCACACAGAGATGCATGACTCACATGTAGTGCCTTGATCTGTGAGGGGAACGCTGAGACCAGAGTCGTACTGCGCGTAGACGTTCACATCATAGGTAGTGCTAGGATTGAGATTGTGTAACGTGTAGGACGTCACTTCCCCAACAAACGCTTCCATGGGTTCACTGGAACCTTTAGTAATGAACATAAAAATATACAGAAATATGCAACCACTAGTCTCAAATTTTGCTCAGAAATAAAGATCTTAACACCCAGTGGAATGAAGGGCATCATTAATTCCTATAGCTTTTGTACACTTGTTCACTGCAGTATGGGGAATATGTAGGGAGAGATTGAGTTGGTCACTCCCTTAATCTCACAGTGTAGCACAGTACCTAGAATTCAGCAGGTGTATAATCAATATTCCTTTGCTAAATACATTCTCACATCTCTTTCTTGAGTTCTACTTTGCCAGCATAGTGCTCTCCATAGTAGGTGCTTAATTAACAAATTTTTTAAATGTATTGCAGAGATAATCTAAGCATTTCTGTCTTGAATCTCAATGTACATATTTTGGTTACTAAAGATCCTTGGATGTCTATTTCTCTTTTCTCATCCTTACACAGGTTCACATTTTTTTCCTCTTGCTTTCTCTCCTTCATTTGTTTCACAGTCTTCCTGCATACAAGAAGATGCCCTAGGAAATTTGGTACCAAGACTATATTTCTTCCAATTCTGGTAAGCATGCAAGCAGAACACAGAAACAAAGATAACAAATAGTCCAATCAAGGTGATACTGATTTAGGCGAAAATGTCAGTGAGGAGTTGAAAGTGAGCTTGTCATGAATAAACTAAAATGTATGAAATCTATGCCCAAAGAGAATAACACTTGGACATAGTGGGAAAGGCATGCAAGTTTATATTTTTAAAATATGTACTGCTTCATGGTCATAATAATGTGAGATGTCTAAACATAAGCAGTTTAAATGTATACAATTTTATGGACCAGATTAAACTTTTCCATCATGGAATTTAGTGAGAGCCTCAACTAAACCCTAAAGCATTGATTCCATACACATTACTCACTCAGTGGTAAGAAACTTGATGTGAGATGTGAACAGGAGAATCCAGTAATAGGGGATGGAATGGAAAATATCCTCATATGCACGGAATTCCAAGTGCTTTTCAGTTATGATAAAGGTGCTTTCTTACCTGCTGGCTTATACACAATCTTGTACCCAAGAACTGGAGAGGGTGATGGATCCCAGGACACCCTGAACCTCGTATACCATTCATCAGAGATGTGTATGTTCTGAGGGGGAAGCAGTCCCACTAGAAACAAAACAAGGCACTTATCATTCACATTCAACAGCACAGCAATGCACAAGTACTACTGCAGCAGTCCTATGAGAGTAGCTTGCTGTACACGATCCCACCATTTTCTTATCCCCCAAAACAAGTAAAATGGAGTCAAGAACTGATGATTTTCAGGAGAGTCTGCTAAGCAGGAGACAACAGTGTACTACTGAGAGCTGGCATATGCATACCAACAGGGGTCAGAAGTACAGAAAATTGAAGAGAGCGCACATGCTACATGATGCTATTAGATTTTAGGATGCTATAGGTTATTCTCTTAGAAGTTAAGAGAAGGCTGGGCATGGTGGCGCATGCCTGTAATCCCAGCACTCGGGAAGCTGAGACAGCAGGATTGTTGGGAGTTCGAGGTCAGCCTTGGCTACAAAGTGAGTTCAAGGCCAGCCTGAACTGCATAGTGAGACCCTGTTTCAAAAAGTACAAAATAAATAAATAAATAAATAAGTTAAGAGAGTGGTGATCAAAACACCTTGGTATATAAATAAGCTACAATTCACCCAACAAATGCACAGGTAGCTAATGACCTGTGCGTTCTGTTGCCACCCCGCTCTCCTTGCACCAGAGGGCACCCTTAACCCCAGAGGTCCTGCCCCCAAAATCTACCAGTTGCAAAGTCTATGGAGTCGAGGTTATATGTTCAGTATCATTCAGTTTCCAAAATAATTAATCCAACTTGAATAACTTGTTTTCATAAGCAAAGCTAGATATGATTTGGCTATTCCTGGATAGAGCACACAATAATTTGCTACAGTTTTGATAAGCACAAATTATAAAATACACCATTTCCCTCCCCCCTGGAAAGTACTAAAATGTATTTAAATGTAAGAGAAAGTGGAGAAAAGGGAAGTTGTTAAATTAATATCTTTCATGAGTCCCTAGACTATAATTTCCACTGACTCAGCCCTGTGGGCAACGATAAGTATGCAGATTCCTGACCTCCATAAACTGGGCTGAACTTAGTCTACTCTTGCTTTTCCCTTAAGAGTTTTCAAAGGTTATCTTTTCTCCAAATGCAGTAATATTTTCCAGAACATTTAAGCACAAAAAGATTTTGGACCAATGAATGAAGAAAGAAAACTAAAATCTTGCAATCTAAGTAGATTTTTGCTGAATGAAGTAGAAAGGTGGAATGCCAGTGTTCACCAGACACAGACCTAAAGCCAAGCCTGCTTTCCTGCTACCTAGAGCCAAGTCTGCCTTTCTGCTACCAGTGACTCAACCCTGGCTGCACATTAGCACCTCAGAGGCCAAGGTCATGCCCCAGGTCAGTGACATCAGCATCCTTCTGAGCGGCTCCCAGCTCTTGTATTTTCCAAAGCTCCTCAGGTGACTCCAAGGAGCAACCAATTTAGAGAATCTTTAAGCCATAAGAAATTGCCATCAGCACAGGTTTAAAAAAGGGCCCAGGGGCTGGGGATTTAGCTCAGCGGCAAAAGCGCCTGCCTGGCAAGCGCAAGGTCGTGAGTTCAGTTCCCGGTACCGGAGGAAAAAAAAAAAAAAGGGGCCTGAATGTTAATAATTCTTTACAAACTATTTGGTGAGATAAGTTTTCAAAATATAGTTAAATTTTTGGCAAGAAGATGATTGCTCATCATTTTGCATCTTTGTTTATTACTAAAGATCCAATCAAACCAGAATATTTTTCAGCTAAGCATCTATAGCCTTAAGTGATACCACAAAAAGAGACATCTATCCAGCCAACAAGCAATAGTTTCCCAAAAAACAAACAGAATTACAGTACATCAAATAAAGAAAAATAGGTGGATTTCTGACTCCTTTTTCTTCTCTTACTGGGTCTTTAAAAATAAATTGTGTTTTCATGCTGTCATTTTTATAAAATTCAGTGTCTAACACAAATGTTAGAGCAGTATTACTGTTAGTATTTGAGATGCAGTGATAAAGACCAATTTTATATATTTTCAAAAGTATAAGAAGCAACATTAACATCTCCACAGCTCCAAAGTAAAAGTAAAATAAAAGCTATAAGACACTGACCTGTTCTCCCATTTCCTGTTAGGTGGCCGCCATCCCCATCTTCATAGACAGCAATAACAGTAATTTTATAGGGAGTATCAGGTTGCAGGGGCTGCAGTATGATATTATTTCTTCTACCTGGTACTGTTGTCTATAGGTAACGATCAATCACACAGTTAGTGCCAGCTACAGGACTTCCAGATCCAAAGTTAGCACTGTGTAATGCATTCCCATAAACAGGAATGGTTTCTTTATGTTTTCTTTTTGTTTCATAACACTCCTGGAAAGACATCATTTGCCTTGCTTCTGTGCAGCATGGAACAATGGTTTTGAAGTCTGTCGGATCTGGGCTCAAATCCCAGATTAACCACTAAACAGCCTTTGGACAGCATCTCAAGGAAAGTGTGAGGATTAAAGGCAACGAATACAGCACCTCAGAGGACACTGCTGAGCACTGTGGCAATCAGGCTAAGTTTGTCTCCCTCACCTCTCATTACTGCAGTTACGTTCTCAGGTAATCCTTCAGCCAGTATACACCAAGGATCCACTATGGAAAGGGCACGATCCACTAACGAACAAAAACAAGTTCAGCCTGTGCCCTCAACAGTATCAGTTCAGCTGACACCAGTGAGGTAGAAATGAGGAAATGAAGGAAACATTTGATTTCCTCTTCAAAGAGCAAATGAACCAGTCAGTCACCTCACGGTGTCTCTCCTAGTGATGTGCATTGGTTACACCAGTGACTCCTGGCCTACAACTAACAGCAGTCAATTGGTAGGAGAAATTACATTTTTAATGTGTTTAGAAAGTTTTAAAAAATTGTACATTTTTCTATGGCAAGGCCGAACAAGAACTAAACATGAACCATGGCAAACTAATTGTGGTAACACTGTTTCTTTTTGATCAGAAACTCTAAATGGTAATTAATTCTTACTAATAAGAAGGGGGACTCCAGTTAAAGCTCACTATACCACCTTCAAGAAAATGAAAGCTCTTATCCTATGGAATTAATGAGAAAGAAGGATCTAAGAGGATATATGTGGTTAAAAGGGTACAAGCCACAGATATAACTCCCTTACAATCAGAATTGTGGATAGTTTCTGTGAAGTTATTGCAGAAATTCACCACTAAACTTCAGTATAAGTGGTTTTCCATCTGTGACAAATGTACACACATAGTGAAGGTTACGAAGAAGCTACAAAAACTTCATCCTGGATTAGGAGGGACAAATTATGACACTCAAAAAGTTCGAAGGGGTGAGGGGAAGGGGTTCACTGGTAGAGCGCTTGCTTTTTATGCACAAGGCCCTGAGTTCCATTCCCATCACTGAAAACACACACACACACAGACACACACACACACACTTTGGAGCTAATAGAAGAAAATGTACATTCTAAAGTAAAATTATACTATAAAATGTTAAGTTTTTTAAAAGGAGAGATTATTTTACTAAGCCTGGATTATGGAAGAGACAACTTGCAGAGGAATTAGATTTGAAGAAAGGGTAAGATTTGAATAATCACATCATCTGACCATTAATTTATGTATTCCAAACTAATAGGTATCATATTTCAGTAGATGTTCCTCTAATATAAGTCAGTGGTTAGAGCTATGTATATGATCACGAGATGAGGCAGTTTTATAGTCTACTTTTGGAACAGAAATGAATCTGAATCATTGCTTCCGTGGGGTGGGATGCTCCCCTATGATGTAGAGAAAGTCATGAAATCTGACTGTTACGCAAACGTCAAGGACTCCTCTCCAATCATGGCGCACTTCTACAGAAAAAGTTTAACTCCACCCTGCAAGCAGCTAAGGTTATAAACATGCCAGTGAGTTACATACTTACATATTCATCTATTGGGTCCCCAACAGTAGTAGAATAAATGATTCTGTATTGCTGAACTGGCCCATCAGCGTGATCCCAGCTTACGGAGAGAGTATTGGTCGTCTCATCAAAGACTCTAATATTCCTTGGTCCACTGCGTGGTACTAAATAAATAAAATAGAGTATGTTGCCTGCCTCATAGCATTACACAGGTCAGGTGCTTGCAGGTATTTTGCCCTCTATGAAGATGTTTCATCACTTCTAATGAAATACATGTCACTTCTGATGAAATACTCCACTGTGGTTTTCACCACTCATCACTGCAGTTATTTAAATACAGGATGACCAAACATTGCATATTTTTCATTAATTTTATAAGATATTAGGAAATATAAAAATAACAATTTTATCAAATTTATTAAATACAAGAATGGACTGGTTGCCAGGAGTGGTAACACAGGCTTGTAATCCCAGCACTCAGGAGGCTGAGGCAGGAGAATCATCTTGAGTTTGAGGTCAGCCTGACTACACGAACTACACAGCAAAACCCTGTCTCAAAAAAAATAAATGGACTGATTGAAATGACACTTGCAAGTCCCTTTCTAAAAATGTTAGTTTATCATTGACCTTTTGATGCTTCCACTCGGGATAGTACATAAACAAATGTACCCCTCAAGTGATGCTCAGGGCAAACTGTTAAGTGGTTAATGTGAAATCAGACGCATGAAAAATACTACATCTCAAACTACAGTCACATGAGAAACTTGCAGTGGCACAGAGCTAAGTTTGAAGCTAAATATACAGACTGGGAAAGAAGGAGTTTGTTCTAACCTTCTATATCCACGTCAGTGTAATGAAACAAAAACCAAGCTTCCACACCTCCAAAGTGCCTATTTGGTGAGAAGAACTGAGGAAACCTCTCTAAACTTAGGTCCCAGATAAAAAGTGACCACGTGAGATCCAAATTCAGCCCCAGAAGACAGTTGTGGAGCCAAGTGTTACCCCAGAGTGCAACTGGGAAAGGGAAAAACTACTAACATCCCTCACCCACCTCCACCCGCTCCTCACACACAGGGGAGGCCCTGCCAGTCTAAACAGGGAACAGGGTAAAGAGAGTGTGGCTGCCTCACGTGTTCGGCCCTGGCTGGGGCTCGGCATCCCTTCTCCATCTGAGTAGATCGCCACGATGTTCACGGAATAGACCGTGTCTGGAATCAGCCTCTCCAGCTGCACCTGGCGGATATTTCCCGGCACCACGATCTGCAGGGTGAGAAAATGCCAGATTCTGCCTGACAGCAGCCCCAGTGCTCACCCCGTCTGAAGGTAGTTGGCACAATATTTCTAATAAGAGGCTGGTCCTAGGCACTTCAGAGGCCAAATGTGTGTCCCCATAAGGTCTGCCTGGGCCACACCATTGAAAATGTGTCCTCAAAAAGTCCCTTTCTAAAAATGTTATTTTATCATTGACCTTTTGATGCTTCCACTATCTTCCACTTATGATATTATAAAGACTTGCAAATACAACTTCTAGAGCTCATGTCATTTATCCAAATATCATGAATGTTAGGCATACATAAGAGAAGGGAGTCATTGCAATGGCAGGAGGGAGATTTTGCATGAAAAAAACAAAGCAATTCCATGGGCTGGATATGGATGGCTAAAATGCCTGAATGTGTCCCAGTAGACAGAGACCTGAAAATCAACATTCTTAGAAGATATACACATTGTATACCATCTGGTTATCTTTGTTCATTACCATTGTTAATTTTTGCAAATCCTTCTAAGTTAGATTAGTCTGCAAATTCATTTTCTCATAGGTTTTCTGTGCTATTGTTATTCATGTTAGTGATTCCTGATTTCTAAATTATGAAACTCTTACCAAACTGAACTGTATTATGAAGTACAGATAGACAGCAACTTATAAGATCCAGTAAAGGCAAATTTTCATATATTTCCATAACAAAAACATTTGTACTTTATAAGAAAGCTGTACATTGACAAGGCCTAGCAATGATCTGCATCTATGACAAGTTTTTATCTCATGTAGCTAGTCTGAATTTTCCAACATTCTTTTTTGCTAAGGAATCTTATAATTCACCTGTCTTAACTCATCATAAACAATCACTTAAGTGTTTCATATAGGTGTGACTGTACTCTCACAGGCTACCAAACGTAACACAAGTGCTATTACATTCCTCAGAAGATGCCAACCAAAGGCATACTGTCCCAGCCAGCCTGTGCAGCAGAGACCACAACAGAATCTACAAAACTCTCTGCCAAGCTCTAAAATGACAAAGTGACTCACCGATTCTGAAGGCCTTGTGCCATCAGCAGGCGAATATACAACGCGGTACTGCAGCACAGGCCCGGGAGCGGGGTCCCAGCGCACATCGAGGCTATTGGGCGTGGGGTTGTACACGTCAATGTTCCTTGCCAGTCCTCGCACCACTAAGGAAATGGAAGTCAGTGTCTGTTTCTTAAGTTTGTTTTTACACGTCAAGCTTTCATTACTTCTCCACAACGTCTACTCTGTAATAGCATCAGATACCACCTTCTTCAGGCCTTTGATTATCCACACACAAAATACTCTCCAAATCCAATTTCAGTCAATGTATCAACGATAGCCTTTGTCCACATAAAAGTAATGCTGTTTTCAGTAACAAGAAACAACTATGACAAGTAGAATCAGACTGGCCCAAAGGGACATAGAACACAGGAAAGAAATAGGAGGAAGAGTTTCCATTTCCAACATAGGTAAGGGAGAGACAGGAGCTATGGTCTGCCTTCTAAGGCAAATCTAACAAAAGCTACGAGACCCAATTAATTCTGTGGGTTCAGCCATACATTCCTTCATTCATTCCAGCTTTATTCAATAAATAGCTATTTAATGCTTTCTGTGACTGAGCAAAAGGAAAAAGAAGAAAAGTGTAAGAAATAGCCAGTTCCCAATTAACTGACTCAACAGGGACTTAGAAAAACCTGCAAAGGAAATCCGCATACTAACCCTAAACTCTAGTTTAGCCAGTTACATCATATCTCTAGGCCAGGAGCATTAACCTTTTCCCAAAAGAAGCTATCTATGCCTGCTTCCTTTCAGCCATCAGCAAATGTGTCTTTAGAGCCAAAGAAATGTTTGTAAGTACGCACGCACGCAAGCCTTGAAGCGATTCTACAAGGAATAGTAAAACCATCAAAATTGATTTCTTAAAATGTTAGTTGCAAATAAAAGTATGCAGATTTCTAGCCTCAAAATTACTTCATTAACAAGCCAAGGAAGTGTCCAGTCCAGTGCTATGACCGAGAGATGGCAGCAGCTTATTTTAAGAAAACTAAACCCAAAGCAGGCCTTGACCCAGATGTACATGGCAGCACACAACACTCAACGGATTCTTGTCAGTGAAAGAGAATGACCGAAGAAGCATACTGATGAGTACATACACATTTACAAATCCTGAAATTATCATTTCAAAAGAATGTCATTATAGATTTGTTATTGTTATTTGTTATTCAAAAGAATGTCATTATAGATTTGTTATTTGTTATTTGTTATTGTTATAGATTTGTTAACAATGGATACTGTTCCTGTTTTTAATTTTATCATTCTGAATTTTCTCACTTTTCTTTAGTGACCCTACATGGCCTTTACAATGAAAAGCAAAATTTATGATGAAACGTGACTTTTTCTACTTTTTCCTTACGTGTCCTTCCAGTGTCTGATGTGCGTCCCCCATCGCCTTCGGGATAAACAGGCACAACAGTAATAGTGTATAGGGTGTCTGGCTGCAGATTCCTAAGAATGGCATAATTGGTATTTCCAGGGATCGGCACCTAAAATTTTTAATAAACATAAACATCCGATTTGCAAAACTTGAACTGTGAACTGCTATGAAGACTTCTGAAGAGCTTATGAAAAAGCTTCCCTGTCCCCAATCTCCCTACCTCCCAAGCTGTAAAGCAACAGCTCCATCCCCTAGGATATCTTTCCCTCATTCCAGTTGTTCCTGCCTTTGAGCAATTTCTTTCCCTTTCCTATTATCTATTGTACATTTTGGGTTTTATTTACTCTTTCAGATTCTTATACCAGGGAGACAATATGATGTTTCCACAAGTGGGTCCTATTTATTTCATTTATGAGTATGGTCTCTAGTTGCTTTCATTTACCTATAAAAGCCTTGAGTTTATCTTTTTTTATAGCTGAGCAATACTCCATTGTCTAGTGAACTATGTATTATCTCTAATGTTCTTTTAAGTTATTATTTTCTTATTCTCTTTAATGGTTTGATCAATCTTCTATTCCTACATCTGATAATCTGAGCAACTTCATTGAAGATAACAATACGTAATAGAGCAACCAATGTTAATCCCTATCATTTGGTTTGAAACCCAGTATCATTTTTAATATCCTTGCTTTGTTTTGTTTGTATTTCACTCTTGTTCTTTTTTTGGTACTATTTTCTTTAAAATAAAAAAATAAAATAAAGATATCTTCAGTTCTAATGCCAGTTAGTTAATGCCTTCACTTCCACTCTAAACCACGCAGATATGCTTTAAGCATGCTAGCATTTTTTTGCTGCCGGAAATAATTACCAGTTCTTCGGCACCGCCAGCCGCTGGTGCATAGAAGAGCTTGTACTTCCGGGGGTTTCCCTCTGCATGGTCCCAGCGAACGCTCAAGGTGCTGGTGGAGGGGTCATACACTCGCAGGTTCCTCACAGTAGTCAGAGGTTCTGAAAAACAGACTCACTTCACAGTCTGGCCCTAGAATTCAAGCACAACTGAAACTCACACTAAGTGATATCTCTCAGGCACCATGGGATACTGCAGACATCCCATATGTATTTGTTCAAGTAGTGAATTAAAAAGTTTGCGTTACTTTGGTGCTTATGTCTCATTTATCCACCAGGCGTGTGGGCTCCAGCATACTTTTTTTTAATCCTAGACAGTAGTACATGTTTTCTTCACAAACACAAACAGCTCATTGCAAGCAAACATGTTAAAACAATGAACATCAATTTTGAAATGAATTTTGAAGGACTAGTAGAACTTTGGGTCAGCCCAGTGTTTCTGGACAAAGACATGGTTTCATTACAATGGCGTTACAGAAGAAGTGGCAGGGAGTCTGGTTGCACTTACTGGTCTTGCCTCTTCCGGTCATGCGCCCTCCTTCCCCATCCGGGTACAGAGAAGACACCGTGAACGTGTATGGAGTGTCGGGCTTCAGTTTCTGCACCACCACGCTGTTCTGCCGTCCACCTACTGTGACCTTGATAAAATAGGTCTTGGTAAGCATTAGCCTTTATACTGCCACCTCACCAGTCTGTTAGAGAAAGCTATTCATACAGAGGCGCTCTTTGTCCTTGAGAGCTTTGCCAAGTTCTAGAATCGTGCATGACAGTGAAGCTTTAAAATTTGTCTTGTGGAATAATTTTAAATGTAAAGTATGCACTCAAATCATAAAAAGGATCCCGAGCTTTAAACTGGTGACCTCAAAAAGATATTTCAACTTGCTAGCTAGCTGCCAGCACTGCAAAATTTCATCCAAAACATTTTACAGAACTCTCCCCACTGCCCCCAAAAGGCATTAATCATAATTGAGCTACAGAGGGACTTTTAAGACACCAAAGAACTATGTAATTTTGGAGGCTCCACACCATTCAGTATTATTCTTATTTTTTGCACATGTTTTTTATTTGCTTTAGAAACACATTAAAATGATTCAGCAAAGATCTAAAGCTCTTGGTGTTTCCCCCAAACATTGCCGCACTAGCTGTGTAAACGACGTGACAGGACACTTTGCCAAGCCACACTCAGACAGGGGCCCCCAGGGGTCTCCGTGAGACTATCCTCATGGTATGAAGCTTTTCAATTTTCTCCAATTATGGAGTTTGAAGTTTCTTATTCATTGCTTGAGGCCATCTAGCTATCTTGTTGAAAGAAAATTTGTACGATTTGTTAACAGTCTACTGAATTCAGATGTTTATGCCTTACTAATTAAAATCATATGAAAATGGCGGGCCGCCCACGGGAGCACACACAGAGATGGCTGGATGTGCCAGGGTACACCAGATGTTTCTGACTTAGCACCCATCCGCCCTGCAATCTGCGTTGCAGAGAAAACCTTGGTGAATCACTGTGGGGATCTTCAATATGAGTGATCTGAACCACAATGGCTAATTTTGAAAAGTTTAATTTTGAGGTGATAGGAGAAAAACACCAATATCAGTACAAGCCACTTTTATAAATTTTTCATACCTGACAAATCTGAAAGCATGTAAAAAGAACTAGTCTTATGACTAAGTGGAGGGATGTCTTCAACTTCTTCCATTCAATGCTCCAAAATAATTCCAGCATTAGTGGTTCACTACTTTGATTATGTTGTGAACTAGCATCTGACTGGAAGCGTTTTTGACTCAGCTAAGCCATTCACCAGGCAGGCGCAGAGACTGTTAAACCACTGTCAGCCTCAACATCTTCTAGCACCTCTATGCTGGTAAGAGGTATGAACCATTTACTTGAGCTCAGCACACTTGATGATTAAAAGTCAAAAACTCATGTCTCTCTAAGGGTGTACAATGAAATATTACCCCCTACCCTGCCCCCCACAACAGCCAGCAATGCTCTGGACCACATCAAAAGCAGTGTTTGAAGTAAATCAAGAAGTACAACCCTATCTTGGTAAACATCATGGTACTTCCTTACCTAGGACACTATGTGCATTTCTAGTCATGCATTTCACAAAAGGCAAAGCTGGAGAAAGTCTGAAAACAGAGAGCTAAAGTAAGCAAGGTAAACGGACAAAGGTGTTATTAAACAAAGGATGACGGGAAGATAGAGAAGCTGACAGCTGAGTTTATAGTCCTATCATCTTTCTTGGATACGTCCATATAGGTCATATCAAAATAATAAATATTTTGAATTGGATGAAAGGACATCCATATCTAGAAACACCATGTCCAGGACAGACTGTCTGACATGCAAAACCAAAAAAAATTAAGATTCAGAAAAGAAAATAAACTTTCTCCATAAGCTTAGCAAACTTCCAGTGCTTGACTAAGAGAGAATGACTAAACAAGTACATGAACTCAGAAACTATTTAGACCTCTTCATGGCTAATGCAGCATTGCATGTCTTTAATGGAACTGTGAATATACTGAGGTGCGTGCCTAATGCTTTGAAGCTGCTATGAATAGAACTATGATCTCCCATGAGAATCCCCACGGGGTCTCCATTCCCACACCAAACATGGGTGCCTGCTAAAATTGGATGAAGCCATTCGCTACAGAAAAAAAGATAAACCCTGATAAAATTATGTGTGAACATCAAAGGTGAAAGACATTGAAGAAGAGTGAGTAGAACTTATCCAAGTTAGAGTGTTTGGGAAACAAATTACCGTTTGTTCATTGCCTTCTCCTGTCGATGGCTGATAAGTGATTCTGTATTTCTGCACACGACCACTAGCAGGATCCCACTTAACAGTAAGGCTGTTAGATGTTGCATTGTATACCTGCAGGTTCCGTGGGCCACTTTTTGGAGCTGAAAGAGGATTGTTTAAAACACAGTAAGCACACAGAGCAACTCTCACTCCTTACACCCGTCAAAATATGTACAGCTCCTGAGGCAATCAAAACTTGTATGCCTCTACATTTAGAATTGAGTTTGAGCCCATAATCACGATGATCATTGAATCTTAAATGACTGCTTGGTTGAGACTGAATATTTGAGTCACCCAAACCTGGTCCTCACATCTGTTAAAGCATTAAGCCCAATATGATGGAATTTGTAAACGGGCCCTTGAGGGTCAATGAGGTCAGCAGAGTGGACCCCTTATAATGGAATTAGCCCTTCTAAGAAAGACATGAGAGAGCTCCTTTGCTCGCCCTTTGCCATATGACAACTCAGCTGGACAGCTGTTGTCTGCAAGCCAGGAGGACAGTCCTCATCAGGAACACAACTGGTTATGACATTAGACTTCCCAGTCTCTAGAATTATGAGAATATAACATTTGTTGTTTCAATCATCCAACCCAAAGTTTTATCATGGCAGCTGAAGCTGACTGATTAATATACTCCCCAGAAAGTAGCAGGAAGTTGGTCAAGAAAAGTTTATCTAAAAGAGGCCCAAGCCAATACTTTACAGTTAAAAAACACAATGCTTGAGGGCCCTATTCATTCATGTATTATTTGTTCGTTCAAACAGTTGAGCAAATTCAGTGCTTACCTTGTGTTGTTAAGGGTATCAAACGCACTATAAAGAAATAGAATTTGAGGAAACATTACTAATGCAGTAGTAGCTCCATTTTTTTTTTTTCAATTAACGTTACAATAGCTGAACACCCACGTGTGCGCTCACTGCCAACCAGGTCCTCGCTCTCCGACTCATCAGGGTAGATGGCAGTCACAGAAACCTCATAGAGAGTGTTGGGGTTCAGGTTCTCAAACACCAAGGTATTTTCATCTCCATTTAGCATGACCTGAGGGAGAGAGGACAGCATCATGCGCACACAGAGTTAACTCTCCATTGGTATCAGACACAGTTCACGGCATTTTGTTGACATCATTTGGGCAGAGGCTTTGTCCTGTTTTGATACATGCTGTAAACTAGCAAGTAGGAAAGAATGCTTATCGGGCAACAGAAGGGATGAGTAATTCAAGCAAGCATCCCTATGACTAAATTGGGGGGGACATTACCTCCATCTTATCTGAGCTCCCCATAGGCCCCGCAGTTACTCTGTAGAGAGACACATCGGAAGCTCCGTGATCCCACGTTCCTCTGAAACTCTCCGGTGTTACTTCAGTCAGCCGTAGGTTTGTTGGGGCTGGAACATGTCCTATCATGTGAAAAGGCAGGGTTGTTTTTGAACATGAGCCACAAACATAAATATAATAAAAGTCCTTTGTTTTATTTTAATGGACATGGAAAACTGATTGAATATGTGGCTTAGAAACAAATCCAGTTCACTTGAAAAATAAATGTACCACAAAGCGAAGACCGTGTGAGCATCACAGATGATTGCTTATATTCTACTAAAATGATATAGCAATACCCAAAGCACAAAATCTGGCCTGCATTATTGCAGAGTTCAGCGCTTTGTCCAGTCCCTCAGCGACCCTGGGGACACACATCATGCCTGGGTTAAGAGGCCTTCTTCTCACCCCGTAATGTTACAAAACTACACATACTGCTACAGTTTGCTTTGAGATGATTCTCAAGAAAATATGCATTCATACTTAATTCAGAATTCTTTGCTCTAAAACCCAAAAAGAAACAGTTTCATTGTACTTTTTTAAGATGCACTGCAGTTTAACTATCACTGCATTTTAAAAATGAGATGTATGCCTTACTTTAAATAACAGTAACTTAGTACACTTTGCCACCGGATTAGGACAAACCTATCCAAACACACAGTGAATTCTAACCCAGGAGCGTCACTGCAGGAGGCTTCGGAACATGGTGCGACCCAACCACAAGCTTTTCCCTAATGATTACTAAATTTAACTGCAGAACTGATATTCTCAAGAAGGCAGGAAGCCTGGGGACCGGAAGGTTTGTAAGGTCCCCTTCATCACCCTTCCGTCATCTGAGTCATCTGGCTGTTCTGCAGCATGGAGGACTTGGAGTGTCTGCCACAGCCTGTGTTCTCATTGTCAGTTATTTCCCTGCCTCCTGGGAACCAAAGCCAACTACATACAACCCAAATTCATCAGAAGTTTGTTTCTCCTAAGGGCGATATAAAGTGCCATTGGGATCAAGAGAGCAGTGCCATTTCTATAAGCGTGACTGCAAAGCCAGGCAACTATGAAGGGTGCACTTTGTGTCTATCTGAAATTTATTTGAAAATCTAGACCATACTCATAAGTACAATAAATCGGGCCCACATGTGAAAATCACAAGGACTGAAGACTATTAATCTAGTCTGCCGAAGTATCTACTTGGCTACCTTTTGCCCTGGCTTCTTTGCCTCTGTGCCTTTTGTGTTTAAACAAAGCACAGGCAGCCCGTCTGTACCAATTCTCACTTTCAGTCATGGTTCTTACCAGTTCAAAACTAAGGCAACTGAAACTGCTAAGAAATTGCAGATGGTAGGAAACAGAAGAGTAAAAAGAGAGAAGTGGAAATGACTGAAGGAGGGATCAGGCTATGACAAATGTCCTGATCGAGTACAGAGAGCTCTACCCTGAAGAAGGAGCTGTACAGAAGAGGCCTGTCACTAGATTCCTGGAGTGCCGAGCACATTATTTACACTCCCCAGGCTGCATGCGGGAGTCACAGCCACAAGGGATCTCTGAACACTTCACACTGTAGCTAAGTCTCAATTGAGATGTGCTGCAAATACAAAATATACAAAGCATTTCAAACATCATTGAAGAAAAAAGTGAACTATCCCATTAAAAATCATACTGAAACACGCTGTAGTGGTAATATTTTGGATCTACTGGGTAGAATGAAACATATTATTAAAATCAATTTCTTCCACTCTTTTTACCTTTCCTAATTCGGACTCTAGAAAATTTTTAACTAGGTATATGGCTCCCATTATATATATTTTCAACACGGCTGCACCAGACTTCAATTTTTATACCAGAAGTTGGATCAGGTTCTCATAAATTGACCACTAGATTAGATGGTTATATTTTGAGGGCTGCAGTAAGTAATTATGTGTCAGCACTAAAGATGCAGACTCCATCAAAATGAACATTTCCACTTTCACTGAGGGAGCAGAGGGCAGTAAGATAGCCCCAAAAAAGGCCAGTGGACAATTTAACAATTGAGTTAAGTGCTATAGAAACACCAAGAAGGGGAGAACCAACATCCACAGAAGCTAGAGCAGAGTGGAGTGGGGAGAACAGTCCCCAACAGGCTGCCAGGCACTGACACCTCTGGACAACAGTCACCCCTCCCCTTCCCATCCTTACAGGACCCCACGCATCCTTAATTAATGTTTTTATCTCCACCGCTAAATCATGATCTGTGGAAGGCAAAGAGGGTTATATCTTGTTATCCTGATAACACTTTAGATATAGTGAGATTTCAAAACATATTTGATAACTAGTTCATCTCTTCCTAAGCAAAGCAAATGTCCAACATTTGTCAAAAAACATGCTGTGCTCCCCACCCTACTGTGCATGGGTCCTTACACACACGTGCACACACATATGTGCACACACACACACACACCCCAGCTAAGTGATCAGAGGAATGAGTGGAGACAGCTGACACCATCATAAAAGGATCAATGATGGAATATAGAACCCTTTGCTATGAGGAAAGGTAATAAAAAGACAGCCTATGAACCCAAGCACTGTTAAATACTGACAAAATGAGCGCTAAGAAATGAAATGCCTAGTAAATTGAATTACACATGTGCAAAGCACTGTGTCTTTTTTTTTTAAGTACTGTTTCTTAAGTGTCCCAAAACCAGGGATACGACTCACGTGTGGTATCCTGAGCTGTCACCGGTGGAGACTCCCCCTCATCATACACCGCGGAAACGCTGACAGTGTACAGGGTTTGTGACTGGAGGTCTCTGATGGGGGTGCTGGCCCGTGACCTGTCCACTTCCACCTGCAAGAATAACAGAGCAGTGCAACTGTTTTTACAAAGGCTTCGATTGGGGGCAGATCTCTTCTTTACTTCTTAGCATGAGAACATAGGAATTATGATACAAAAATGTAGGATTACTTTTTTATCCAGAAACTGAACTCATTTTAAATGTTTTTAAAGTAGGAAAAACTGCACAGAGTAGAGCCATAACCGACCCAATTGTGTGGTCAGTGGTGACTGCCACAGATTCAAAGAGCCTTAACCATTTTCAGAGATATCTCTTTATAGCATTATATTACATATTGCTTTCTTAAATTGTCCCTCATACATAATCTGACTTGCTATGCACAAGAATCTTTCAAGACCACTGGCCCCCATATCTCGTTTTTCTTAGGAAAATGGTTTTATCCCTAATTTTTAGTTCCATAAAGTTTACAAATACACTTTTACTCTGATAATATGGAAACTCAGAATGAGACAAATACATGCACATGTACAAGTTACATTTTGTACCATCTACAAATGACCAACTTGTACAACTGACTGGGTGTTCGGAGGAATAATTTCTGTGTTCCTAAATGCCTCTGAGGTTCTGATATTAATACTTCTTCAAGCACACCCAAAGATTACACCCATTTACTGGTGAAGCCCTCTCAATTTGTTCCCACTCTAAATCAGTTTTCTGGGGAGAGATCTCTCCATCTCCACATTATCTCAAAAATGATTACTCTGAAAAGAGCACTCCTCTAACATGGTCCTCCTTTCTCTCTGTGTGGCTCAATTGTCCTATCTTCCTACTGTCTGGGGACCTCCCCTCTTCCTTTGCTACATCCCTTTGCTACCTTTTATTTTTAGAAACATTACAGCATTTTTGGGGTCACTGATTGACTAAAGAGTACCATGTAAAATATCTAAATAAGAAGGAAAGACTATTTAGATTCTATAATCATTTATCTATAATCATTTATCTGCAAATATTTTTTAGGTTACTATCACAGAGCAAAATATTTCTAAATTACATCCAAGGGAGTGCAACATAGTACTGATTTTCAAAAAGTATTTTATTAATATCATATAGTTTCCACTTTATGTTAATGAAATGACAAGTATTGAAAACATGCTATCACCTGTACTTGATAAAGTTATTATGCTAAGCCTTCTAGAAAGACAAACATTTCCATATGTTTTCTAATCTTCAACTTACCTCTTTGAAATCCTCTTCTGGTGTTTTGTATCGGACAACATATTTACGTACTTTCCCAAGCACAGGTTCCCACACAACATTCATGGTGCTGTGAGTCACATCTCTGAGTCTCACATCCTGAGGTCCAGGTAATGGCACTGGAGAAGCAAGAGACATTAGGTCCAGGTGTGTCCTAAGCCACATAGCTCCAAGCATCCACACACGCTCCCAATTGGGAGAAAACTTGAAAGTGTGCAGCAAAGTAAGTGGAAAATGATTATGATGATAAAGGTACCAGGGTGCACTAGACAGAGCTAAATTCTTCTAGGTAGGCCTTTAAAGGATAGTACTATGTGTTCTTTATTAGTGCATACTAGTTATCCAGATTAATGGGCTTCCTTCTAGCCAACTTGGGATATATTTTTATCATCCTGTTGACTTCTCATCTACATGTTAATTTTCCCTTCTATTTAGACAACTTGCTCTTCAGCTATAATAAATCATACCCCATCATAAGCGTACAGCTTATATTTCTTCATCAGATATTGAAAGCAGGTCAAGTAGAAAACAAAATCAATAAAGTTATTCTCCCTCAAGAATGCAATAATAAAAATAGGACAGTGAAGTAAAAAAGATGGGACAGCATTAAGCATCCAATGAGATGCTAAGAAAAGTCACAGAGACTAAATGGCTGGGAGAAAATCCAAGATAAATTTTACCAACTCAAAAAAAAAAAAAGTGTACCTTGTGAATGATGGGGAAGACAATGAAGAAATTGTGTCTTGATATCTGAGTGCAGGCATCTCCACCCAGCTGCCCACTTGACATTTTCCCTCTTCTCCATCCCATCTCTGCACATCTCTCTTCCTGAATCTCTATTTCCACCTCCGTATTCCTGAATCTCCAGTCCTTCAGTGTTCCTGTCTGTAAGCATCTTTCCCTGAGCTCCTTCCTCCCTGGCCATCCTCCAGCATCATGCCCAAATCTGTTACTATATTTGTCTTTCATCCCTTTACAAATCTTGGGTCTTCTCTCTTGGCAGTCTTAGAATGCATGTCTCCAAACTGGGCTGACTCCCTACTCTCTGCATTGGCCATTAACCCATTTCCACAACACCACCAGCCCTGGACAAGGTCTAACATATAAAAGGTGATTAATAAACATTCACTTATTACCAATGAATTTACACTACAGGGGCTCTTTCTCTTATCTGCCCTACCATGTTTATGTCTCCTCAATTTCTTTTCCCCTGGAAATTCTTCCCATCTTCTTAGTATCTTGGAAACATGGACTAAGACTTATTACATTTTTGCGAAGCCATCTATCCCAGTACAATGAGCTCTCTTAGTAGGAAACAAATGCCAGCGAGGTAAAGTCCTAAATGGATCCATTGTCACTTTTCAAGAAAAAGTACGTAAATGCTCACAGATATAACCCAGAAGGGAAGGGACTGGCCCGCAGATAGAAGAGCAACACCCAATAGAGTCCACACTGTTTTGTGTTACTTAGTAACACATTTCCAACACCCAGTTCATGACAGTCAAATAGGAAACAATCAGTACACTCGGGGACTGGATAAATGTATTAATTCACTTAGCTGAAACGCATTCATATGTATCATAGAGCCTCTACTTCAACAAGAGCTTCATAAAAATTGATCTTAAACCTAAATGTTTTCCTCCAAAATCAAACTAACCCAGTGCTCTTATTCTTGTCAATCCTACACACACATTTCATGGGTCTTAAATAACATCACTTATAAGATGAACCGTTATTTCATGTTCTATACCTTGATTGACACCTTGTCAAGAGCAAGAGTAAGACACCATTGATTATAAAATACATCCCTATGTGATAAATGTGGGAAAAAAATGCACATTGTAGAATCAATTTAAGATGCTGTCAAGGGAATTAAGATGTTTACTTTCAAATTTAACTGTGAAAAGTAATAACTCTGTAACTTACGCATGGATTATCAAGTTATTGTTAGCATCAAGTGAAAGAAATATTCTAATAAGTGTTAAAATTTAGAGCAATAAGGAGGGAAGGATAGCCAGCAGCATCTTACAGGTGACTTCCCGAACGGTGACAGGTTCACTTGTGAGGTCGTGCAGGAGAGCCTGGACTGTGACTTCATACTCGGTGCTAGGAAGGAGGTCAGTCAGCTGCACATCGTTCACTGTGGGCCCCACTCGCATCTGCATATGGAAATCCCAAACAGAAATGAGGCATTGAGACCAAATGTTTCCACTTACTGCGATATCCAGCTGAAGCCTTTCATAACCACTGGGCTCCAGCATAGTTTTCTTTTTCATTTCAAGAATTGCATTTCTTTTTTCAGATCCATGTTTTCTAAAATACATTGCAGGCTACAGACCTAAGTTTCTTTTTTTTTTTTTTCTTTTTTGGTTTGTGTGTAAAGTTATAAATTAGTTCCTCAGTAATTGCAGTCTGTAAATGTGTGAAGCCTCGGGAAGTCCCAACGGTTACCTCTTTGGGTTTTGCTGGTTTGGTGGCTTCGGCGGGCTGGTATGACAAGGTGTAGCCAGTAGCTCCTCCCACAGGCTGCCACTGCACTCGCATAGTAGTCGGGCCAATGTCATACACATTCAGGCTGACTACTGGGACTGGCACTGTCAAAACATAAAAGCAGACATTAGTTTAACCTTTTTATCCTACTTATTTTTTAACTGCTGTTTCCTACTATATATTTATGTATGCTCAATGAAAACGGGTTGCAGGAGAAATCAGTGAGAGTTAATATAATCCTTCCTCTCCCCACCCCAAAAATCCAGTCTCATTGATCATTGCACTTAATACTTGGGACTTCACCTGACAACTATTAAACGGAGGGAAAAACTTAAAAGTTCCGATTGCAGATGGCATTCTAGTGGCTCTACCACTAGATACCAATTCCCGAGACTTCAATTTCTTTTGCAGAAAATCATTAGGTAGGGTACTTTTATATTTTGGTCCTAGAACTTCAGACAGAAGTAACCAACACAGTATTTAATTTCATCTTTATGAAAAAAGTACATTTAAATGACAGTATTATACATTAATAACTGGAACATAGGGGACGTATAGGAGTTCTTTTTTGAAGACGAGAGCATGAAAGAGTAGTTTACAATTTCTCCATCACTTCGTATCCATACAATTCTCAATTATTTGTAGTCCAAAGACTGATTTTAAAGTTTTAAGATATTGTCGCATCTATCCTACCAGTTACAAAACTACATTAAGTCCCATGTGGCATGAAGAGGTAGAAGAGAGGAGAGAAGCACTGAGGAGCTGAGCGATCCACATAATCAGCTCCTGACACACTCCCTCCTCTTAGAAGTGGCTTCCTATCTTCCCCCCGGTGCCAGCCAAGAAGGAGGAAGAGGGAAAGGGTACTTCCGTCCAGCCTGGGAAACACTGCCAGGAACCGGAGCAATAAGCATCTCCTCCCAAGAGCTCCGCTCAAAGTCGAAGCCATCAGGGCCTCAGCAGTAAAGGCCAGAGTCAGACAGAGGTGGGAGAGGTCATGGCCAACAGGGAGCCCTGGCCACTAGCAGGGGTGAAAGAGGTCAGCTCTGTCCAACGCTCTTCCTAATGGAGGCCCCTCCCCAGCTGGCACATTTCCAGGTATTGTACCAAGAAGAGCTTAGTTCTTCAGGGAAATGTCCTTGGATAACAATAGGAGCAAAGTCTAATGTTTTCCTCTCTTGAAATGTGTATTTGCATTTTAAGAGATTTTTTTGAAAGCCTGAAGTCCCTAGACTCTTAACAAGTGATAATGCTATTAAAGGTGTCTCTCCTCGAAATACTGGCCATGGCCACCCGCTCCGGCAGTGGGGTCCCTGGGGCAGAAGCAGCCAGCAAGACTTGGTGGGTAACCACCAAGCCTTTATTGAGCACTTGCACGAAGAAGGCACTTGGTAAATATTCACTGAATAGATACTGAATCAAGACATGATTTCAAAGACTGGCAAAAATAAGCACATGAGCTATCACCTTTTTATCTTGGAAAATAGAACAGTAAGAAAATGTGTGTGCATGCGTGCGTTTCATCTGACTTACGAGTTTTTTCTGTGCCCTTCAGAGGCTCGCTATATTCGTCTTCCACCACAGAATACACATTCACAACATACTCCGTTTCAGGCTTCAGGTCTTTCAGCACTGTGCTGGTTTCCAGTCGGCTCACATAAAACTGGGGAGACAGGGGTAACAAATAACAGCAATGTGTAGTACTATTAGTTCTCCTTTTTCTGTTATATTTACAAAGTAATTAACTGCACTGAGCTTAGAAATTATATTCCAATGAGGCCATTGTCATCTGATTTTTGGAAACTACTAGGTGTTGGACAATTGTCATAATTTATACATTTAGCTGTTGCTTCCTTATTTGTTAAATGAATGAATAAAACTAGACCATCTTTAATATCCCTTGGCAAATCTAGGACTCTAGGACAAACTCATGAGTAAATCTACATCCTAAAATTACTTTTAAGTTTTAGAAACTCATACTGAGATCCAGCACTTCTTAGAAGCTGTAAGAACATAAGCCAAGCTCTTCTTTCATTAAGCCCTAATGCCCGTGCCTGCCTCGCCAGGCAGAGAACCCTGGGACCCCCACAGCCCTGCCTCCCCACACCTCTCTTGCCCAGGGCCCTGGTGAGGAGGACACTCTCTCAGTGCAAGAACAGAGTGGGTGAAGGTGTTGGCTACTCACTTCTTGGCGTTTCCCTCCTGAAACAGGGTAGTATTCCACCTTGTATCTGTCCACACTGTCAGACGGAGGTGTCCAGCTCACTCTAAAAGAACGGTGAGTTCGCTCCGAAATAACCAAGTTAGAAGGTGCTTCCAAGTCACCTGCATGTGGGAATAAAGTGCGTGCACTCTTTCACTACTGTAAGAAAGTGATGAAGTTTGAAATTACCCTGAAATTACCACTGATCTGGAATACCGTTGAGTGCATGTCCCAAGCTTCCACACGCTGACGTTCACATAGGTAGCAGATACATCCAGACAGAAACCAACTGCCCGCAGGGTCTCTCTGACTGAGCAAAAGGATCTCTTAGCTTTGGAAGATTCAAACCCAAGCTCACCATCATTCCTTAAACTTGTGCCTCCTCTTCTATATGACTCCCGGTTAAATCATCACCTATGCTTAGAACCTCGACATCATCTTTGAACAAGTTCTCTTTCCTCAGTCTTCATATGTAATCAGTAAATCAAGATTTAGATCCTGAAAGTTCAGCAGCTCCATTGTCTCCATCATGGCTAAGTCACTACCTCAGGCCTTCATTTTCATTTCAGTTACATGTATTCATGTCTTATCTCTTGAGCTACAAGTCAGGTTCTATGAGAATAAAACTGGCTTCTTACGCACAGTTAGTTCTATTACGGTTAGTTTCTTATTCAATTATTCATTGCTTAGTTCAGAATTAAGAAAAGTCATCAGTTCTCACTCAAGAGGGAAAACAAACAAGTATTTTAAAATTTGGGAGCCTCCCACCGCCCATGCCTTTGCTCGCTGTGGATAGACAGAGTGAGATGACAAAGACATAACCATATCTGTAATAAATATCAAAGAAAACAGAAATGTTAAACTCGATTTTATCAATAGGAAGATGTTCCAAATAATAATTTAAAGAGGAAAGAGTTAACCCAGGGACTCCACAAGCATGGCAAATCATTTTCATATAAACTCTTTCTGCTTTGTTTTTAAGCCAGAACTGAGAAGAGCATTTCCATTCTTAGTAGCCTAACCTTTATTGCACTTGGGTCATAATCAAGCTTGCAAAATTATCAAGTAGTTTTACTGTCTGGGAAACTGAAATGAATGCAACTATTACATAGCTGATAAAAAAAAAGAAAAACAGATAAAAGATGTTTTCATCCCCATTCAAATTCTCTCCAGTTGAATAAAACTACAGCTCTCCCAGCTAATTCAGAGCCAGAAGCCTTCAGATTCTGGCTGCCCAGCTGGTCTATTTCTCCAGGGAAAAAGTCAGCCTGATGTTCAAACATCCAAAAGAGAAAAATCTGCAAAATTTTGGAAAGAGAAACTTGAAGGATTCAGAAAATGTATCCCCAGTGTCTGAAGCACATGAACCATTTCTGAAACATTATTTGTTAAATTCTTTTCAACTTCTCCAAAATCAGAATAAATTAATGGACAATTTTTACCACAATCTATGCAGACATCAAATGAATTGTTTCTCATACAATAAGAACTATAATTTTTACCATTAATTTTCTGTTAATGATAACCTTCAATTTGGGTGCTGATGGCCTATGATTTATCCAGATAATAATCATTTTACAATATCCTTTGACAATACAAATCCAGTTCCATAATTTTGATTCTAAATCCTAATTCTTTATCCACAGTTACTTTTTTTCCAGGACCCATAAAAACATCTTTAACCGTTCTGAACCTGAAAAGCTAATTTAAATTCACTGGATCACAATTTCTTCACTGATAAAGGCAAGTTATATAATTTCTAAGCCTGAGACTTATATATAATTTCCAACACCTGAGACTATAACTGCCCTTATGTTCAGGGTTACAAATGGAACTGCCAAATCTGATCATTTGTAGATGAGGCAAATCAAATCAGACATAAGATTCCTCTTCCAATCTTATTCATATTAGGAAATTTTAAAAAAGAGATATCACTTTAGAGGAAGAAGTCTGTAAGAAACCATCTAACAGTAATGTCCAAAGGCCTGAGTTCAAACTTCAATACCACAAAAAAGAAATAAAGAAAAGGAAGGGAGGGAAGGAGAAAGCAAGGAAGAAAATGTATCCTCGGTACACAAGGTAAGCAAATCATTTCCACAACATTATTAAACTCATTCCAACATTTCCAAAACCACAGTAAATAAATGAAAGATCATGTATACCATAATCTATATGTAGTAAAATGGAATTTTCTCTTATAATAAGGGCCATAATTTAATTGTTTATTTTCTGAAATCCATCCTTTTGGGTACTTTACCATGTAGACCCATAAATATATGTCTACTGTTAGTTATCATAACTCAGGAGATGCTACTGGTATCCAGTAGGAAGAGGCCAGCGATGCTGGTAAACACCTTACAACGCATGAAACACTTCACTCCATCCACAAAAGAATAATTACCTGATCCAAAATGCCAGTGGTGCTGACAGTAAGAAACCTAGGCTAAACTCACCTGGACCTTTGACGCTGTTACACAAGTTAATGGTGAGGTCATCCACAATACTGGAGAGTGACTCAAAATCTGCCACATTGTATGCGTGGATATCATCGGGATCAGTGGCAATCATTTTTAACTCAACCTCGTCAGCATTCTTAATACCTTGAAAATGAAGGTATAAAAATTAAAAGCATTCTCAGGAAAAAAGCTAATAGAGTGAACTAAATATTTTAGAGTTTTCTTAATTGATAGTTGCTGTAGGCAAATAGGAATGTCTAATAATTTATTAACTGTGATATACATATTATTTTCCTCAAGAGTAAAATGATTACTTACAGGTAGTTATAAAACAGAAAAAAAAGCAAAGAATAATCTGAAATCTAATTATAAATTGCCTTCTTAATGCTAACTCAAAATTTTCAATAAAAAGTGAATTTTCTGGAAAGTAAAGTTACACATGTCAGAAATAAGGATCTGAGCAAAACAAAACAGGAATTTTCTGAATTCTTTTAATAGTATAACGACATGCAGTTGTCTCATTGCAAGGGGAAATAAACCTAGAACATCTTTTGGATAAATTGTGTGATAGGAAAGATACGTCTGTTGTTCCCCACCCCTCCGTGTTTTAGATACTCTTTTAACTGCACAAATGCCCTCACCCACGCGTGACCCCAGGGGCATCTCTGTCCTCACCGATAGCGAATAGCTCCACGCCTTCATCCTTGAGCCTCTTGGACGGCGCCTCGACGTCATCTTGCGATTTTCCGTCCGTTATGAGAACACCAATTTTGCGAGCGCGAGGTCGCATGCCAGCTTGGGTCTTGAAGTTCTGTTGGCGAATGAAATTCAAAGCCAAACCTAGTGGGAATTTTAAAAGAGAGTCAGCCCGGTTCGTCTCAGCAGTGACTGGTGCTCGGTCAGCTCGCGGAGCCCCAGGGCGCGGCTCACCCGTGAGCGTGTTGCCTCCTTTGTAGGGCAAGTTCGCCACTGCCTGCAACAAGCTCTTCTTATCTCTGTGAGCATTCAGCTGCCACTCTGTCCTGGGGTCTCCGCTGTACTGAGCAAGGCCTGAAACAATACCATCAGCATCAGTGCGTACAAAATGCACAACGAAAACGTCAAAAATCTCTTCAATTTTGGGAGAACCTACCAATCTGCACTCTTTTGGGGCCAATCTCAAAGACCTCCACAATGCGAGAAATGAAACTCCTCACAGTTCTAAAATTCGCTCGACCGATGCTCCAGGATCCGTCCACCAATAGCACGATGTCGGCTTCAGCTCTGGTGAGACACTCCATGCCTGTCCGGACAGGGCCAGACGGGACAGTGAGGAGCAGGGTGTTGGCAGGGTGGTGCCCTAGCCGTGCCTCTGCCACCCCTAAACCTCAGGGCTCAGTATCTGCAGCTTGACTCAGTGCCTCAGAGCACCAGGCTCTGAAAATCTGTTCATGTGATTTATCAACCTCAGATAATATTCATAAGAGTTCCCCCAAAGAGTAGCTTTGCTGCATCATTGACTATATTTCCTAGCTACACTCATAGAACCTGGGGACTAGAATTAGACCACCACTGCCAATGTCAAAGCCTCACACACACAAAAGCTCAGCTAGCTGAGAATGCATAACTGTCTAACAATAAGATATTAATAATTTTAATAAAATTTTAATGTGATCTAAAGACAAGATATTGTATTTTCCATAATATTAACTCATTGGCAGGCAAGTAGGCTAATTAAACATATAAGTTAGAAATGGTTTCAGTGAGCCAAAAATATTTTAAAATAATTAATCTCCCAGGTAACTATTACATATATTGTGGACAATTAGACACATGACTGTTAAAATTGAACCTTTATAATACAAAGATACATTTTTAAAACCTGATGCACTATTACTTCGGTATTATTGAACTTTATCATCTACTTTGTATACAAATCAGATAAATACAGATGATGAAGTTTGCACATATAAAGAACCAAGAAAGAAGGAAGATAATTTGGGGAAGTATGCAAACAAATAAATTGAAAGCTGTGGACACAATGAGCACAGACATGGTACAAAGCGAGGGTGCTTGGGAGAGAGAAAAATAATCCCAATATCCTCAGTGTACAAGCTACAAAATAAAAACACAAATCGGTTAATATCGCCATAAGAGAAACAATCAAAATAAATGCAAAACAGCACAATTTGACACTTTGATCTATTCAAATCCACATCCAACTTTTTAAATGTGCTATTTCCTATGAGCTTCAGTTACCAGCTATGAATTTTCCAATTCCTTGTACTTGTCGACAAGGAATTCGACTTCCTTGTCGACATCTGAGTTGAAAAACTGATCAAATATTAACCAGTGCTCATCAAAGTGCACTATCTGAGTGTTACACGGGTCAGGACAGACACGCCCAGATGCTGTTCAGAGGCTGGTTGGCCTCCTCAGTCAGCTCCTCCACTTTAATTTACTAATGGTTTAGTAAATTACACAAAATATAGAAGCAAGCTCTTTCCACCACTTCCGCCTGTAAGAATGTTAAAAACTAGCTGTCTTTACATCGAGTCAGCCTGTCCATCTTTTCCTGTAACCTGACTCTGGATCCCCAGCCCAAGTGAACCACTGAAGTAAAGACACATAACTTCCTTAGCAACAGAAAATTGCAACTTGGTCACTAAAATGAAGAAAAGTGTTAGAAAACTGTAGATATTGGTATCTACATTTTAGTAAATCTCACCTTTAAATAATGTGCACTGTGTAACTAAGGCAATGCTAAAAAAAACAAGCCTAAAAACAATGTCTTTCAAAGTACACCTGTCTTGAAGCAGTTTTCTCAAACCACTAACTATGTCAATTACTTAAATAAACTTTAGTGAAAAAGATTTATAGCTACTTCTCATTGTAGAATGATCTAAAAGATTGCCTTTGAAATAGTTTCCTAATGCTAAGTGCTCCCCAGGGAAGGTAGTTCAGTTCCTTACCAGAGGACAGAATTGGCATCACAGTTGTGTCAGAAAGGGTTGTCATTTCTTGTCCAACCAGAGGTGAACTTTCTCCTCCATCAAACATTCCAAAAACATTTACTTTATAGGTGGTGCCTGCCCTGAAACAGTAGAGTGTATCATCTGTATGGACCATGAGCTAAAGGGGTGGGTGGCAGTTTTGCTTTGTTAGAAACACTCACCTTGATAGGCAAACTTTCATGAAGACGACCTTAGAATGACAGCATTGTAAGAGAAGAAACACAGTTTCTGCCACATTGTAGCATGCATTTACCCTGTGAGGACTCAAGAGAAATGAACCACCCAGCACCCCAGGGTGCTCCAGGATCCACAGCCCTGCTTGTAGTCTGGCCTTCCTGCCAATGACAGGGTCCCTGTCACAGGTTCCATGTGTCACAGAAGGGTCGGGAACTTGGCATTTGATGAGCAATGGACTCCACGCACACCCCTGAAGGGCTGGAGTGTAGCCCCGTGCAGAGCCTTGCCTGGTATCCAGGAAGCCCTGGTTCGCCCCCAATACCACACAAAAAGAAAAAGACTGAGTTGCGCTTTACAAGATAACATACGGCTCCTTGCGCAGTGCCTGGCAAGGAGCAAGGGCAATCCAGCTCACCCTCCCTACTCTGGAAAAGCAATGACAAGAGTTTATAGAAGCTTCAATATTATGGGATGCCTAGTGGAACACACATTCCAGGAGATGATACTCGGTTGTCTCCTCTTTCCACTGCCATGAATGTGCTGTCCAAACTCAGACGCCCTTGTTTTCCAGCGCACAGCCGGAAGTGAACCTTCCCCCAGCCCTGCTGCCCTGCCAGCTGGCACCAAGCACGGAGCCCCTGGCTTCTGGTGTCACATGGGAGAGGCTCGCATGGGGCCTCAGCACGAATTGCCTCAGGAACCTGCACTTCCACAGGACTGGAGACATGGTGAAATTGTGCCATATTGATATTTTAAAAACCAATGCTATGAAAAATGTAATTCCTGATCACTTATAATAAAAAAATCATTAAAATATTACAAACAGTCTGCCCAGGACTAAATTCTATTGCTGGCCTCTGAATTCTAACTTCTACTCCAGGAGCACCAAGCAGACAAAGCAGATTTAGTTGATCTAAAATACTCTACTGACAAATAGACATACATGTGATTATTTTCCTTAGGTTACCGATTTACATAAAGTATTCAATTTTTAACAAAAGCAGACTCAATCTTTAACACAACCATAAGCAATTCCTACCTAAGTTCTTCCAAAACAACTGTGTTGTCGTAGGGTCCAACAACTAACTCCCCCAGTCTTCTGTCATCTCCGGTAGGGTGGAAGGTGACTTTGTAGCCCTTCACTTCCCCTGGGGCAGGCTCCCAAGTCACTCGGAAACTTGACATAGTTGGGTCAGATGTTTTGAGATTTCTTGGTGACTTAAATCGAGAAGCTGTAACAGTAAATAAATCCTTAAAATGGTATTCATAAGGCATGGCCATACTTTCAAAACATTTTGAAATCTGTATTTTTAAATACAGATTTAATGCAATCCCAATAAAAATACCATTAGCACACCTCACAGATCTACAGAAAACATTCCTAAAATTCATCTGGAACTTAAAGAGATCTAGAATAACAAAGGCAATGCTGAGTATCAAAGGAAAGGCAGGAAGCAACACAATCCCTGATTTGAAATTATACTACAAAGCTACTGTGAGAAAATCAGCATGCCACTGGGAAAAGAAACAGAACTGAGGATCAATGGAACAGACTGGAAAATGCAGACACAACTACAAACACACTCTGGTACCTTATCTTTGACAAAGGGGCTAAACATGTTTACTGGAAGAAAGATAGCTTCTTTAATAAATGGTGCTGGAACAACTGGCTTTCCACATGCTGAAGACTAAAACTAGACCCATTTCTGTTATCATGCACTAAAGTAAAGTGAAAATGGATCAATGATTTAAATATTAAAACAGAAATATTAAATCTACTGCAAGAGAAAGCAGGTAGAAATCTTGAAGACATAGGGGTAGCCAGAGAGTTCATGAACAAAATCCAAACTGCAGGGGAAATACTTCGAAGAATCAACAATGGGGATTTCATCTTATTAAAAAGTTTTTCCATATCGAAAGAAATCACCAACAGAGTGGGAAAAAAGACTCACAGAGTGGCAAAAAATTTTACCCAACTATTCCTCAGACAAAGGACTTGTATCTAGAACATATAAAGCATTTTAAAAAATCAGATCCCCAAATTCAAAGCTCCATTCCAAAAATGCGCATCTGAGATGAATACACACTTCTCAGATGAAGACAGGCAAATGGCAAATAAATATATAAAAAAAGTTCAACATCATTGGCCATTCAAGAAATGCAAATTAAAGTAACACTGAGATTCCATCTCACTACAGAAAGAATGGCTATTATCAAGAAATCAACCAATAACAAATGCTAGAGGGGCTGTGGGGAAAAAGGAACACTTCTGCACTGTTGGTAGGAGTGTAGACTGGTACAACCTCTGTGGAAATTAGTGTAGAGATTCCTCATAAAACTAGGATTAGAGATCCCATTTGACCCAGCTATTCCCCTTTTGGGCATTTTCCCAGAAGAATTAAAACATCATACCACAGCAATATATGTGCACCCGTGTTTATAGCAGAACAATTTATAACAGCTAAATTTTGGAAACAACCCAAATGCCCATCCACCAAGGAATGGATAAAAAAGACATGGTATTTTTATACAATAGAGTACTACTCAGCTATAAAGAAAGACAAACTTGAGGTTTCTCATAGGTAAACAGATGCAACTACAGACAATACTCATAAGTGAAATAAATCAGACTCACATGTGTAAACATTGTATTGTCTCTCTAGGGTAAGAGACTGAAAGAGTAAATAAGATCCAAAAGGTACAATAGATATAGTGAAAGGGAAAGAAACTGCTCAAAAGGAAAGAACAACTGGAATGGGGAAAAGAGAAAAGGAAGGGAAAAAATATATATATATTTTAATAATTTTATAATTACTTATAAATAATTGTATATATAATTAGCTAAGATAATTATACTAGTAATTTCTATTAGTTTGTTGAAAAGAACAGGTTGTGCTTACATTGTTTAACCAATTTTGCATACCTATATCTTGTAATCTGAGCAACTGTTTTGAAGATAGTAATATACAATATATTAATGATTGTTAATTTCCTACTATCTTTTTTGAAATTCCATATTGTTTCTATTGCTTTTTTCTCTCTTTAAAATAAAATAAATAAAATAAAACATTATTCATAGGACTAAAATCTGGGAGTTTTCTATTAACTTTTTCAAAAACGTACATTTATAAGAAGGGTTAACTCTGATAATACAAGATGTCATGTTGAATAAACGTCCTGGTAACAAAGTGCCGTCCAATAAGGGTAACTAATTCTCACCATTCAGGTTACTTTAGCATTAGAATGTTAACAGGTAGACTCATTTTACCAGGAACTAGATTGGCAAAAGTAATATGCACATGATGAGTCCCATCTCATAATTATAATTTAATATATTACAGATTTGATTTTAAACATCTATAAATGAAGGAGATGCATTAAAGTCTTCTTTTGACATATTCTCTACTTTCACCTCCATGCGCACACAAAACGTTATGATTTGGTACCTGTTCTTCCTGAGCCCTGTCTCAGCTTCCCTTCTCCTGTCTTATACATTGGGAGAACTGTGATGTCGTATGTGGTCTGGGGTTGAAGCCGCTTTAACACTGTGGAAGTGGCCGTGGGTGGCACCTTAGCAACCATTTGTCTCCCTCCTCCTTGGGGACGATACACAACACGGTAATTGATGACTTTCCCTGGTGCTGGTCTCCACGTAACTCTCATTGTATTTTCTGTTTCTTCATCCACTTTCAAGGTTTTAGAATCTTGGGATACTGAGGAGAAACAAGAGGAAAATGAAATGTATATCATTCTGAAAGGGTGTATGGACACATCTTCATTTATGTGCAAAGAAAATGTGGCTTCTTAAATATGTCCACTATTCTCTTGCCTAGCATTGCAGAAGATGTTGTGTAAGCCCCATCTTAGCAAGACTTCAGTAAATGTGTTCTCTTTACTTCACTCACACTAAAAAGTGTGAGATCAAACTGCAGGAATTTTCTCTTTGCATGCTGGAGACTGTAATAACGAAAAGGCCCATTTCTGCAGATGAAGTGAATTTTTACAGCATTTTCACCTGCAAAGAATTCATCTAGTAGCAATGTCATGTAGAATTCTAAAAATAATGAATGGAGAGTTAGAAATTTTACTTAGGCCTTTCCAAAAAATGCTGGAATATAAATGACTAGCCAGAGTACTATGGTTAACAATATCTTTGTGATTGTTATGTGCATAGAAGACTGTGAACACAAAATAGGAAACTCTAAAAGTCTCTCAAGGGCTTTAAAGATAAGGTAGTGTATATACTCAGTATTTTATAAAGCACTGTAGGTTAATAGAATGTGTGTAATGTGTAAGAATTGTATTTACTAAATTATTTTTAAATAATATTTCACACTTACTAATAACTTTATCAAAACACAAACATCCATGGTCAGCATCATCCCTTTTCTTATTTAGAGTTAGACCTTATAAGTAGGATTATTTCATTCAGGTCAATAGTTCTGCATTCAAAAAATCATTAGCATTTTTATAGGAAGAGATTAAGCTGAAGGGAACTTAAAATCACCAGAGATCTTTCCCTGATTTCATTTGATTTTTCAAATTTGTGTGTGTGTGTTTGAGACAGGGTCTCGCTATGCAATTCAAATTAGCTGTGAGCTCACTTTGTAGCCCAGGCTGGTCTTCAACTCACAACCATCCTCCTGCCTCAGCCTCCCGAGTTCTGGGCTTATAGGTGTATGCCACCACACCAGGCCCTTTCCTGATTTTAAAGGAAATTTTCATGTTCAAACAAGCAAGAGCTATATGAAACAATTGGGGAAAAAAAGCTTTCTTTAGAAAAGTAACAGTTTTTAGACAGTGGATGTGAGTCGGCGCTGGACAGTGGTGTTTGAAAGATAAAGAACAAGTGAGAGTGGACTCTATGACTGACCTGCTTTTTGCCTGCAGAGAGTGTGTGGGCATAAGGACAGAAGGGCAGGCCCCTCACAGAGGCCAGTGGTCTCCCTTAACTGTCGAGAGGGTGTCGGAGTCCATGAGGCCAAAGAAACCAGAACTTACAGAACAGAAAACTGTGAAGAGAGCGTGACACATGGAAAATGCTCCAAAAACATGCAAAGGGTCTCCTGAGTCTCCAACTCTGGGTTAGTGAGGAAACTCCCCAAATCAGGGACAGAACCACTCAAAGGCAATAGAAGGAACAAATCCTGCAGCTCATGGGGCCAGAAGAGAACTCTTCCTCATTCTGGAGACATCATATGAGCAAGGTGCTCAGGAGCCCCCACTGCCTCAGTATCAGAGCAAGTTCAGCCTTAAAGTAAAGCAGAGCTTAAAACTAAGTTTCAGAAAGCCAAAAGCATTTCTAAGAAACATAAATGTACCCCAGAAAAAAAGCCTTAAAAATATCTATAAGAATATAAAAATAGCCATCACCTAACAAGGTAAAATGAACAATGTCTGGCTTCTAATAAAAACTTTGAGGTATGCCAAGAAGGAAAATACTGTATGACCCACATTATGGATGGAGTGATCATGCCCCACCCCCAAAAAAATTGATATGTTGAAGTCTTAACCTTCAATGTGTTGGTCTTTGGAGATGGTGACTTTGGTGCAGAATTTAGTGCTAAATTAGGCTGTATAGGTGAGACTCTGATCAGAGTGGATTAGAGTGTTTATGACAGAAATTTCTCTTTTTCTCCCCATTTCCAGACTGGGGAAAGGCCATGTGAGGATACAATGAGAAGGTGGTCGACTTTATGTGAGAATAAAACTCTCACTAGAAACTAAACCCTATCAGAACCTTGATCTTGGACTTTCTATTCTCTAGAATTATGAAAAAATAAATTTATGTAGGTTAACCAGCCAATGATATTTTGTTACGGCAGCCCAAGCTAAAGACAATCCATAAGGAAAAAAAAAATAATAGAAATACAACTAGAAACATCATATATGACAGAACTTGTCAAGAGGGACATTAAGCAGTTATCATAATTATGTTCCATATGTAAATAATGGTAGAAAAGATTCAGCATGCTAAATAGAGACAGTGAATGTACAAAAAAAGATTCAGATCAAACATCTAGATATAAAAAATATAATGTCTGAGATGAAAATGTACAGGGTGGTATTTATGATACAGAAAAATTACCAAAAAATGATCAGTGAACTTGATTATGTGGCAGCAGAAATTTAAAAATGGAACACAGGAGAAAAATGGAAAAACTAAACAGCACCAGTGCACTGTGTGACAGCTTCACATAGATTTATATGTGTGTCATTTATGTAAAATTATTCATGAATAATTAAATGAATAATTGAAATACTTGAAGGCAATAAGGATGGAATGAGTAAAATATTTACAGAACAATGGGCTGGATTTTCCCTAATTCTACAAAAAAACTATAACCTCACAGATTTAAGAAGCCCAAGGAGCCCCAAGCACAAGAAATACAAAGAGAATTACATTAAGATACATAATAACCAGATTGTTTAAAAATCAGTAATAAAAATAAAATTGTAAAAGTACACAGGTTTTTCTAAATGATACACTATGTGCAGAGAACACAGTTAGGAGTAGTAAAACAAACAAAGAAACTCATCATATTATTATGAAGAAAGTTTCTCAAAGATGTGGAAGTATTTTTTCTAACCAAGAATAGATTAGTTGAAATTTTTATTGCAGTGTTTGAAGAAACTAGAGAAATCTTGGCCAAATCCATTGCCTTCTGAAAATATTAAAATTTTTTCAGATTCATCCTCAGTTCTTTATTATTATTCTCTGAGTGAATGAGCTATTGAAAGAAGATATATAATTTTCTGAACAAAAAACATAAATACCTAGAGTTTTGAAAATAGTATGGGAAAGAATAGCACATAGAAAAACAATCTACTTGGATAACAATCATAGCCAAATGTTCACAAACATTCAATGAATTAATCAGCCTCTGACACTTTTCTAGAATGTATTGTGCTAAAATGTATTTTCTGACCTCTTGTTTCCTTCTAAATTTTTACTCTGTGGAGAAAAATATCCCTCTATTATGCAAAATTCTCAGAACAATTTCATATAACTCAAAATTGAGACAAATGGAAATTTAAATCTTATGAGTGTTTGAACTAAAAAGAAACCTACATTTCCAAAGAATGGAATTCCAAACTTTAAAATCTTTCCACACTCAAATATGTTTTTAAAAATCACTAAATGGTGTACTTCATATCCTGACTTCTTTTGTGGACCTCGTTCATATTCCTCCCTTTTCATACTCTTTGCAATAAAGGGACTGAATTTAAATATATTACATCATTTCTTATCCTATAGGAAGCTTGATTTTAGGGGAAAAAATAAGTCTTATTTGTTCCCCATACCTTAAAAGCAAGATTTTTCAGGTTGCTTCCAGTTATGTCACATGCTATAAAATACTGTAACCCCTTCACATGCTGTGAGTTCTTCTCCTGCTTTAGGAGCTCTTAAAGGGTCCTTTCAGATTCTTCTAATACCTTTGCTGACCCAGTGGCCCTGAGGAGGCACAATTGACAGCTTCCCCTCTGCTGGCTTCCAGTGACAACTCATGGTTTTCATCATGTCAACATCTGTGGACTGGTCCCTGAGTTCCAGGTGAAAGCAATCCTAAAGCCATGTCTAAGATATCACCTTGGAAGCACACATGAAACTGCAAGCCTGGCCCAGGGCTCAGTAGGGCTATCCCCACCTCAGGATTGAGCTGCTGCCTAGAAACTGGATCTACTCACGGGTCTGAAAGTCTTTTCTGCAGGACTTTATTTCCCACACAGAGCAAAGTAAAACACAACAAAACAGAACAGAGGAAGGTCCATGTCTTCGCATACTTCCACAGATGTTTCAGCAATTTTCATACACTCTAAGAAATCAACATTTCATTCATTCCAAGTCTGCTTCAAGTTCCAAAGAGGCATCTTTGTTCACTAGTGTTTAAATCAATCATTATCTATCAAAACTGGAAAGTTCTTAAATGCTTATCTTCAAACACACAAAATATTATTTACAGTTTCTGCTAGCAGAATTGCTTTTGGCTAAAACATATCCCTTGTGGAGATTTTCAACTCCAAATAATTATCTGAAGGCTAAGTCATTTTGAAAGAAGACCCAGGAGAGGAGGAAAATTTTTAATTCTTCTAAATGCATACAGTCTTATAATTTTCAGCCATATGAATTTTGTTTTTAGTCTTACAAATAATTTTAGCTATGTGTGTCATATCTGACCTAAGTTTACAACATGGCTTTCTTATAACAAAATTAAATTTCCATCAGAAATAGAGAACAAGTTTCTGCCAGATTCTTAAGCCACATCAGCAAATATATTCCAGACATAGCTTTCACATATTTCTGTGGAAACTAATCATACAATTATGTGAAAATATGCCATTTCACATATTTAAATTTTCTGAAGGAGTTTGGTTTTTTTTTTTTTTTGAAAGCTGGTTAACTCAGACAAGTTCAAACTTAGATGTATCCAGCTAAGCTTGCCAGTGATAAAAAAGAAAATGAATTCCTCAGACCCAAAGCTTTTAGTAAAGGACAATTTGAATCAGGACATGGGACTTATCTGAAAATCCGCATCGCACTTCCCCTCTCTCTTTTCCCCAAGAAAAATCACCAAATTCTTTAACTTATTTCTAACAGAAGAAAACACAAGAATGCTCTATTTCTTTCCACCTTTCCTAAAACCCTCTAAAAATAAAAGCAATCAAGGCTTGTCCTACAAATGCTTAGAAATGCCCTTACTTAAAAAAAAACAATTTTTGTTAGGTTTTGTTTGGGTTTGTTTGGGTTTGTTCCTCGTATAAGTTATCTTTTAGAACAGTTTTAGGTCCCTAGTAAAATTGAACAGAAGAATCATTCCCTGCCCACACATGCACAGTCTCCACGTTACCAACATAACCCACCGAAGTGGCACGATTGCCCTATATCAACACATCCTTATCACTTAGACATCATTTTTGGAAAGATAATCAAGATATCTTCACACATCCTCCTCTAGCCATGTGACAATAAACCATGACAGATTGATAGTAAATATCCATGAGAAAGAATATTAATGAAATAGAAGTACTTGAGCCACCAGAAAATTGAGTGGGCATTTGATTTAACCTTAGCAAATATTTAGAAGCAAAGTAAAGAAAACTAATTTAGGTTTAGCCTTGTTGCATGAAAATCATAACCTCAGTAGCCACTTATTATCTATCAAACGTTTCTAAGTGGCCAGGCACTAAATTTGGTGGTTTATGTGTTATTTCATCTAACCCTCATGACAACTCAAGAGGACGAGATTTACTATGTGCATTCTACAGAGTAGGAAACTAAGATCCAAGGAAGGTTAAGTATCCTGACCAAGAAGATACAACTACTGTATAAATGTGCCTGAATTCTGTCTCCAGAATCCTCATTTTTTTACTAGCTGGATATATCCTACTTTGCTGCTTATCCATCAGGTTAAGAAGAAAAGACAACTCTAGGTAATTAAAAGGGGTTTACTATCTCAAAAATTTGATATATTTTTGCATATTAACCTAATCTGAATTTAAACTGCATTCCTTAAAAGTCATAACTGTTCAGTCTTCATCACATGAAGGAAAAAATTCAAGTGGTTAAGCTACAAATCATTTGAGCTGATGGTGGTACAGTGGCTCCCATACCCACCCAAACACACCTGTGGTGTTACCTACATTCAGTTGTGGCATCTCCAGTCAGAGGTTCTCCTTCTCCACTGCTGTAAGTTGCAAAAATTGAAATTTTGTACTTGGTCTCTGGCTGCAGATTTTCTATTACAGTATGAATTGCATCTCCTGGAAGATTTTTCTCTCCAGTGTCAATATCATCATAAAGCGATTTCCATGAGACCCTGTATCCACGCACCATTCCAGGAGCAGACGTCCAGTAAGCCCCAATTGATGTGTCAGTGATATCTTTAGTGACTAAATTTTGAGGTGAACCACGTTCTAGAACAGAAATAAAAAGGGAATACTTTTTAAATGTATAGTAGATATTTAAATATTCATTCATTTTGGTAGACATCCTACCTTGCTAGTTTCAAACTACATTGAACTTGATTGGCTGAGAAGCTGCCTGGAGGATTAATAAAGCACACTTCTGGATGTGTCTTGGTGGGCCATGGGGATGTGACCTTGGGGGTCTACATCTGGTCCCTCTTCCCTTCCTCTCTGCTGCTGTTCTCTTTTTCTGCTTCTTGACTACTTAAATTGAGCATCTCTGCTCCACCATGCCCTTCTGCCATGATGTTACTGCCTTGGAGCCAGCTGCCCATGTACTAAATACCTGAACCATTAGCCAAATTGTCTCTCCTTTAAGTGACCAGTGTTAGGTATTGTGTTCCAGAGACAGGAAAATAACTAATACACTGGACTTGTCCAAAGCAGCTCATTTCTTCTTTCTGAGCTGTGTGTTCTGTGCTCCTAGTGGAACAGATTGAGGAAGTAAAACTTTAGAATTATATTTGACTCCTACCAATAAGCCTTGCCCTGATACACCCAGTCAGAGTACAAGATCCTCCAAGACAAAGGTGACATCTAAATTTGAAGGAATATGGTCTAAACCCTAAAATTTATCACATTTTTATCTGCCTTATGACAGCCCATTGTTCACAAGTATATTTCCTTACCATAATTTTTTCTTCTATGATCTAATTTAAGTAAGCTTTTTTGATATTATTTATGACTACAATAAGCTCACATCACTTGCAAACCTTGGTTTCATTAATTATTTTCTGAAGACACTCATATTTTTCATGCAGTTTAAAAAGTAGAAGGGCCAGGCAGGCGCCTTGCCACTGAGCTACATCCCCAGCCCACAAACAGTTAATATTTAAGTATTTGATCAAGCTTACATGTCTATATTTGTTTATCTGAGTATCCAATTTGAAAATATCAATGTGTAATACAACAACCATTGTTAATTTCCTATCACCTTGTCTGAAATTCTGTATTGCTTGTATTGTTTTTGTGTTATTTTCTAAGTGTATGTGTGTTTGTTCATACGTTTTCTTTCATTTATCTTTAAAATAAAAAAGTAGAAGTGCAAGTTTTCAATATTAGTTAACTTCAAAAAACTAAAATCACCAATTCTGGAAAACCACCAATTCTGGAAAACTTAAAAGTGACTAGTCATCAAAATAAAGCATAGCACTTGTAGCTGATTGAAAACATCTGCTACTAGATTTTAGTTCTTTCATAAAGAAAATAATACAATCCAAATGGAAAAAGATGGAAATCTCAAATTAATAGGAGGCACAGATGTTTACTAATAAACCCTCTTTTACCATATTTGAAATGTAAGACAAATATACAGGTCACTTTATATCAACTATCTTTTCTAGGCTTTAGGCCATAGTATAACATAACTATAAAACTATCTGCTTTCCCAGCAGACATTTCTGCAGTAATTTTGTACTTATGCAAATGACATACTACTTTCTGTTTTATATTATGCAAGTGACATAAAAAATTTGAGGCTATTATTTTACTTAAAGAGTAAAAATGAATATCTTTACATTACTTATACTTAAACAATTAAGTTTCAGCACACACAAACCATGAATGACAAAGAAATGCCAGTAGACAAAAACCTATCATACATGGTTGAATGTAGAGCAAAATAATAAATAAAACAGGGCAGCACAGCCTATCAGGACCTAAGCTTAAGTGAAAAATTCTAACTCCATTATAAATAACTTCAATTACTAACAGGACATCTCATCTTTGGAAGGACATTAGGTATATATTTTACTGTGACTAAGAATAGTTATTTTTTCTGGGAATGTAACTTAACAGTAGAACACGTGTCTGGAATGTGTGAGAACCTGGATTTCATCCCCAGCACAAGGAAAGGTATGGAGAAAGGAAAAGAAGAAGGAAAGGAGAAAAAGAATGAGGTTGAAAGACAGGGAGGGGGAAAGAAGGAAGGAAGGAAGGAAGGAAGGAAGGAAGGAAGGAAGGAAGGAAGGAAGGAAGGAAGGTCCCCAGCACAAGGAAAAGGTAGGGAGAAAGGAAGAGAAGAAGGAAAAGAGGAAGAGAAGAAAGTTGAAAGAGAGGTAGGGGGAAGGAAGGAAGGGAAGGAGGGAGGTAGGTGGGGAGGAAGGAAAAGGAAGGAAGGAAAGAAGGAAGGAAGGGAGTTTATTTTCAAGAACTTACTGACTTTCTTTCCCGAAGTACCTGAGGCTAATTATTATTTGCTATTAAACATTTCTATTTCTCTACTTTAGATAACATAAAAATGCATTTCAAGTTGTTTCTTTGATTTGGTTCAGTTATTGAGCTGGTTAGTTGGTTGGTTGACTGGTTTCTTGATTGGCTGCTTTTGTTTCCTTAGATAACTGATATGCTAACAGCTAGTCTACGTTTTAAATGTGCAGTACATCTTTCCTTTCCTTTAATATACAACATTTTCCCACACATTCCTCTTCTCCTAAATTTTGTGAGTTGCAGTTAGGAATGGTTGCTGTGAAATAACCTTACTTGAAAGTGACCTTGAATTTAAATAAGCTAAACACCTCATCAATGAATTCCAAAAAAGTACAAGTCAACATGAGCTACAAAGTAGGAATTCTCTTCCAAAAATTGAGCATCTACCAAGGGTAATTTTACAAAGAATATTTATGGTAATTTACAAAGAATATTTTAGCTTCTACTTTTCTTAACGGTTATGGTTTTTAGCAGTTTTCTCTCTTATTGCTACACAACTGAATTTGTGACACTGTTTCCATGACAACAGTTGTCCATCTCACAAACAAGCAAACGATTTCACTATGACAAAAATAGTAGCAAAAGAATTGTAATTGAAACAAAAATACATTCACAAAGACATTTCTGAGTTTAAAACAAAGGGATTCCAGATCACCAGATGCATCTCCCCAAGGATTTCAACTAATTCTTTTAATGCTTTCAAGACCTCTGATGCTGCAACAAAATACTAGTAAAGTTGTGATAAAGACCTTTGCAAGGTTTACCAAAATAATCTGCAAAAGCACATTTTAAGATGCAAATGAAGCATCAAATAAAAAATATTTGAATCCTCATTAAAATGGCATAGCGTCAATTTGAGTGAGCAAGTTCTTGGTGACGGAAAAAGAAAATCCCCTAAATGTCACAGTTTCTGCCCATGGTATGTAAAGGCCTCATTTAAAGGCATTGGCCTCACAACATTCCATGTTGGTGACAAAGAAATGCTAACTGCAGGAAAGGAGAAAGATACCTCAATTCAGAAGTCAAAATTGAAAGGACAGTTGCTTCATATGGTATCCTGCATGTCCATCATCAGTTTGATACGAATATTCCTAAATAAGTTTACATTTTTCTTAGACATATTCATAAATTTGTTTCTCAAAAAAAAAAAAAAAAAAAAAACAGGGATGAGTAGTCTGCCACATCATACCCAATAATTTTGAGGAAACAATATACTCAGGACAAGCATGTTTTGTCAGACCTGTAACCCTTAAAGTTTTAAATCCAGGATCTTGATTTGGCCAAACGTCAGATTATAAGAAGATGAAGTATCCGTGTGGAACCCTGTGGTACCCTGCGGTACAACGAGCAAGAAGCAGGCCAGCAAGAGACCATGATGCTTTGGGGCTAGGAGTAAGAGTGAAATCAGACATGCAACCCACCCACAGCCTACGTTGCTTCCCAGGGCCCTAGCCCTTGGCAGCAGACAACTTGGTCTGGACCTGATCGCTACGTAGAATCACCCTGCCCACATAGATTAAATCAGAGTATTAGAGCCATGCCAGTTTACCGTATTTCTGAAATATTTTCAATCTGCCATGTGATTTTCACTACTCGACACTTCTCTATCCTCCCCACCCACGCTGCTTTCTGCCGCTCTCTGAACCCTAGAGGGGCCTTTATTTGGAAGGTGTGCTTGTTCAGTGTAGGGAGGACCCTTCACACTTGTATTACTTTAGAAATGTGGCTCCTTAGTTTGTGTAACAGTGCATACCTGGAATCCCAGCATCCTGGGAGGCTGAGGCAGGAAGATGACAAGTTTGAGCCCAGGCTGAGCCACTTAGTGACTTAGCAAGACCCTGACCCAAATATAAAAAAAAGGGCTGTGGATGCAGCTTAGTGTTAGGGCTCTGGATTTAATCCCAGTACTGAAAAAGGAGGGAAGAAAGGAAAAAAATGGAAGAAAGGAGAGAGGGAGGGAGGGGAGAGGGAAGGAGGGAAGGAGGGAAGGAGGGAGGGAGAAAGAGCTTAATATAAGTATGGCTCCTGAAAAACAAAGAGCTGTGGTGAAAGCAAGGCTTTGCAGGCATGGTGAGGGTGGTGCTCTGGAGAAGTGCAGTGGACCACGTGGTACGCTGTCACATGTCCATGCTCAGTGGTCACCACTACAGGCAGCAGGACCTTGAGACTGACACTCACACACCACAGAAGGTGGTATAACTTCTCCGCATGTCCTTTCTGCCCTATAAAACATGGGACAGGAGGCTCGCTCCCTCTTCCCTCCTCCACACCGACTCCTCCTGGCTCTCAGCGTGTGCTTAATGTGGAAGAGTCAATCACATTTTCAGGTGAAGAAGGTTTGGTCAGAGCCAGTTATTTTTTTCCTTGGTTTCCTATTTTTGTCCTCAATCTAAGGAACTTTAGTCTCCAGTTTATTTGGCCTCTTTGGGTTTAATGTGACTAGACCGGGTCTGGGCAAGAGTCCCTTTTTAGCAAACTTAAAAGGGAAGAGCAGATTAAAGGAAATGAAGTTAGAAGAGCAGTGATCGCTAGCCTCTCTCAGGAAAAATTCCTGTTCCAAAAGGCGGCGCCGTGGACCCTTGGCCTCACCTTTCCCTGGGCCTGGATCTGCTTCTCCTTCAGCAGCAGCCCTCTTCCTCCCTGACTTCCTAAGTCTGTGACAGTGGTGCCAGGTCTGTTGAAGTTTTTCCCTGAAGTGAACATTTTTTTTCAATAATACTTCATGTCATCATTCTTGGTCTCTTCCCCTCTGGACTACATGCCTGTGCTTCCTGTACTATGTTTACCTCTGATATTAATATTTCTGGAAGTTATCTCGAGGGAGTCATCTTCTATAATGATGGTATGCCTTGTCGTTATTCCTTGGTTCCATCTCAGTAGTTTTGCCATAAACTCTACTCTTCCTCATACAGTATCAATTAAGTTCAAGGGTTGACAATATATTTGAGTCACAGATCTGAAGGTTTGAAATGCTATGCAGTTCTCAAATTGCAGTGCACAATATTTCTGTCCTGATTATCAAACACACTCAAATGCTTTCAAAGTCATCTTCCTCATGCTGAAAGTCATCCAGACAAGTGCATTTCTCATGATCTGAACATCGACAAGGGCATGACTTCACCACTACTTTTTCCACCTAGTAAGCCAGAGAACTAACGCCTCGTTTAAGTAACTTTCCTATATGTTCTCAGCCCTTTTCCATTTGCTTTCTGAGAAGCAAGTAATCATCCAATTCAAATATAATTACAACACAAATTAGCCAATGGTGATAACTGAAAAATTAATCATCATGAAATGAAACTGCATTTGTCTTACACATTGTTCCAGCCAGCTTTCACTGTGTTTCACATATCACTTGCAAAAATAGAAGTTAAATTGAAAATGTAATGTAAACTTTCCTCTAAATCAATTTGTCTTTTCCGTTAGAGCTCAGCCCAAAAGTCATCCAAATTTCCACAGCCAGAACACAGAAGATCTGCTCTGGATAGCATTCATGTGGAAATACATTTGATTTACAACCAATGAATTACGGCCACCGTTCCAAAGAATGAAGTTCGCTGTGGATGAGTTAGCTGGGTTACTTAAGTAAGATGCAGTTCTTCAAAACCTCTTAACAAATTGCCATTCAATTGCAGAGTCTGCACAAGCAAGAAAGATTTCTTCCATCATTATTGCCTCTCTGATTCCATTCAGATTTTTCTCTGATGAGTCATTAACTCACAGGAAAGGGGTTAGGAGTGTTACTGTTCAACAATGTTACTGTTGCCTGGCAACAGCAGAGTTATTATACCCCCAGTGTATGACTTTGAAATGTATACATGGCCGCTTGTTGGTGTTCACATCATGAGAAATGCACCTGTCTGAATGAGAGAGCAGTAAATCTAGACAAACCCAGAGGCCCGTGTAGCCCATCCTGGGGAAGCCCCGTGTGACTCGACATGACGCAGAGTTCCTGTGTGTGACAGTGGCCTCACCCTGTCAAAACATCCGCTGAGCTGGCCCGCTCAGTGCATACGAAGCTCTTTGTGTCTGGGACACAGCAGGCTGCTTCAGCAACCGAAACAAAGGGCATTGTGAAAAGTTACGTTTTCCGTCACCGGAAAGCAACACTCAAAAATTTAAGAGAATTGTATTATTCCCAAACCGATATTTTCACTCATTTGTGGTCATTCTCTGAATAAAAATAAACATTACTCATGCAGAGGTTTATAAAGCAGGCTTTCTTCACTCCGTGTATTAATGGAGACTACTGAAGTTTCCCTCAGGACTTCAAGTGCATTTGCATGTACATGCAGTGTTTTAGTCATTACGTTAAGCCTATGGACTTGAACAACAGGGGGGAAAGAAACCAGTGTAAATCAAACCTAATGGTGTGTGCTCAGGTTCCTCTGAAGTTTAGACCTGAAATAGTCATAAACTCCCTAATGTTCTTGCCTACGGTACTCCAGCCACTGTGACCTTCCCTCCCCCAGTGCCAACGCTAACAAATCTTTCTTCCAGAGACAGGAATTTTCTGATCATCGGCTGCATTTCAAAAAATAAAAAAAGTAAAAACAGATTCAAGTGAGAGATTGCTGTAGACTATACTAAATATTTTTGTTAAGTTTTTTGTTTAAAGAAGAAACGCTTTTGTTCTTGGAACTGAAAGCCACACTCGGGGAAATCTATATAAAATTTTTGACCTATGGAAAACTCTTGCAGGTTGTCTCTGAGCCTCTGCATAGAAGAAACGTTCCTCCAAGGTCTGCTCTGCTCTTACCACCTCCTGTCCCAGGAGGAAAACAGATTAGAAAAGCAGCAGCCTGCAAAGCGGCTGTCTGGCTCCAGTTCGGGCTTTCCACTCCCTGTGTTTACCATCAGATCCTATTCCTGTGTATGGTATGTGGATTTGGCTGAGTTAAAATAATAAAATGAAATGGAATAACCAGGGGCAAAAATCTCCTATTATTTTAATTTAGTCACAACTGTGCCTTCACATATTTGTCAAATTTACCACAGATAATGTAATGAGGTAAATATGTTAATAAAATCAGGCTGGCAGGTTGTGTGTATGTGTGTGTGCTTGTGTGTGTGTGTGTGTGTGTGTGTGTGTGTGTGTGTGTGATCCTTCACTGTACCAAAAAGATCAAGCATAAATGGGAAAGAAAAAAAGGGACACTTCTTTTTTGTTTGAGACAGGGTCTCATCATGTAGTTCAGGCTAGCCTTGTACTTGTGGCAATCCTCCTGTCTCAGCCTCCCAAGTGCTAGAATCACTGGAGTGTGACACTCCAAGAAAAAAAAATTAACTATATTTTTAAGCAGATTTGAAAATTGTCTCGCTTTCTTCCTTCTCAAAAAATGAAAAACCATTTCTTAACCTATTTCACCTCTTGTACCTCCTGTAGAAATACTTTGTGATCAAATGCATATGTACCCGTATGTGCATTTTGTTATGTAAGACTTTTAATATATTACTGGCAAAAATACCTTCATTTTTAGAATTAAGAATATTTAAGCACAGAGAATATTTTTACTGAGCTGCAAGAAAGTGCAGCTGAATATCAGAAGGTTAAAAGGCACAACCAAAAGAAAAACTATTGAATGATTTCCAAGAGATTCAGCCCTATGCTGAAAACCTGTGAAAAACATATATAAAAGAGAACTTAAAGGTCAAAAAAAAAATGGAAAATTCCAAAATTCTGAATGCTGCTGTAGATGCAAAGATTACATACTTTTATTATTTGTGTTATGTCTTTATAGTTAATGCAATTTTCATTTCAGCCTCTTCTTAGCAAAGGTTTCATGCAGCCAATCAGTATCTCTCAACTAGTTACTAAAGCTACATTCATGGATATTAGTTCTAAGGTTAAAAAGTTATTTACCCATGATGAACTTTATATACATGCAGTATTTTACAGTTCCCTAACAATTTCACTCTCTTACTTGATCTCCATAATAACCCCTGGGAGATGACCCCTCTTTATAGATGGAAAAAATGAGGCTCAGAGGGTCAAGGTTTATTTCAAGATCACACAGCTAAGAAGTAAAATCAGGCTTTTCTGGTTATCAGGACCTGCATAATGGAATTTTAGTCTTTTTTTAGAAAATCCTCTCATCAGAACAGATTGCATGGAGTACTTGGAATAAAATTTTGATCACTACTGTTCTGATTCATTTATTTTTCTTAATTCTTGACTAAGTCTCTAAGTGTCCAATCAGCACTGTTTACAGGCTTTGTCCCTAGCCATGAATAATACCTGGCATCCTTTATCCCCCTGCATCCATCAAACTGAATGAGTATTTTGCTTAATAGCACTGTGATTGTATACACTAAAAAAATTTCAGGTTCATTTTATTACAATAATCAATTATAATAAATAATAAAAACTACAATAATAAAAAGAAAAAGCCTAATAGCCTATACAGTACTACTAATCAACTTTATTATAATATCCACTAATAATCTTCCTTCCTTTGTATTACAATTCATTTTCTTTGTGGTTAGTTTAGGTTTGCATTTCCTTTGCCTTACACTCCTAACTTAGTTGCTGTGGTAAGTCACACCTAAGCTGAAAGTGTATCTCAAAAGATGAAAAGACATGTGAGACCCTCTGATCATCAACTCTAACAAACCAGGGAAACAGACCAGTCTTACTGATAGTGTTTACTAAGTACTGCATTAATGTGAACTTCTACAGTGGAACTAAATTTTAGTAATTGCTTAGAAGACAAAGCAAGACTTGGGCTCTCCCATTTTCAAGCTATTACAAGCACTTTTGCACAGGGCAAATGGAAAGGACACTTGAGAAAGACAATTGCTTCTCTCTGGACATGGAGGACAGAACTTGTTGCTGTGTGACCCTATGCAGCTGGTACACCTCATCCTCAGACACCTCCAGAGGATCCTCAGCCCCGGACATTGCACATTTATTCCCCTTTCAACCTCCCATGGCACAATTAACACATTTCTGTGGCCTCACTCTGCATTCAGATCCCCCAAGACATTTCTTCCTAACTCAGTTTAACTTTTCTCAGCTGCCTACATTCTACATCTCTGAACAACAGGCAGTTGTATGTATATTCATTTTTTTTAGTATAAATTCCTTAAAGGAAAAAAAAGGTTGCACATTGCTAGATTTGAGGCTCTGAAAACATTTTAAGCTTCTTCAATGCAGAATCACAAGCACATTCAGAGATTTCCTTATGGACCATGTGACCGTAATTACCTTCAAGAGTTGTGCCTTCTCCAAAAAGGGCATCTCCAGCTCCAGATGCATACAAGGCCATCACAGATAAGGCGTATTTGGTCCCCTCCTTTAGTTTCCTCAGCATGGTATTAGTCGTGTCTCCCCTCACAGTGACCTCTTGAGTTTCCCCTCCTGTCTCCGGGGTGTATGTGATGAGATACTGTTTCACTTTTCCTGGTGCCCCAGTCCAAGATAGCTTCAGAGTTGATGTCGTAGGGTCTGAAACTCTTAGGTCTCTTGGATTCCCTCTAACTTCATTTAAAAAAAAAGGACAAGAACAACATCAAAACCATTATTTAATGAAATCATTTGAAAAATGTTTTGTGTGCATTTAATAAATTCATGTTGCAGAATCTACATCAATGTAAATTGTTGACCAATCAACAAACACCAATAAATCAACCAATCACTATGGTGATTAATATTACAATAGAGACTTTCACTCCTCCAAAAGTCTTCAATATTTTGTCAGTGTAATGTTATAAATACTTAAAGGCAAGAACCAACAATGCTGAGAGACTCAAAATGATAAAATTGCACAAATGATGTTGACCTGAGAAAGGAAAAGTCAGAGAAAAGACAGGTTAAGTGACAGCAAGCTTTGGGCACAGCTCCCCTGGGGCAACTGTTCCTTTCACAATGGTGACATCTGAGGTTTCATAGTTTTCCTAGGAGATTGGCCTTGTTGTCCCTGAGGTGTCTCAAGGCACCCAACCCTTCCCTTGCACATAGTACTCAGCCAGTCCTCCTTCAGAAAACAGAGGGAGGAAGAGTTACTGGGTTGTTTTATGGTGTCCAGCACAAAAATTCCCACCTGCCCAGCAATATAGAGAAAAAAATGAAGTAGTGACTTCCATAGGAAGAGAAAAGAAGACAATGCAGGTGGACAGTGGGAGTGGGCAGGAAAAGCAGCAAGGCTGGAGGGCAGAGGAACAGGGGTGGCAGGGGAGGTAGGCGGGCTGCGAGGATGCTCCCTGAGGGGTCTGGGGTGAGGGGAAAGTGAGATCCATGGACCAGACTCACACCTTCTTAGCCACACAACCCGGAACTGTGTTTTGACTTCCTAGCTTGATTCCCCGGTGAAACTGGGATGAATAATAGTAATAGCAACTTCAACTATGTGGACCAAATGAGAGAACACCAGAACAACTTTGCCCAGAACCGGATGAAAACATGTGTGAACAGCTGCTCCCTGTTGCTCTGTGTGCTTAGCATTTCCATTCCTGTTAAAGATCTTAAAGATAAGGAGTAACATGTAAAGCACAAGTGACTTAGCTTTTCTCAATAAAATAATATATTAAATTAGTATAATATAGTTTCCGCAAATGTGAGACTTGATTGGAACGACATACACAACCATTTAAATAAAAGCAAATAATGTTTAAAAATCTTCCCGAAGAAGTAAAACATGGTGCCAAGCATCTTGATTTTCAACCCCCAGCCATCCTTCAAATTATATTAAAATATTTAGCAAAATTATGTTTAAAAAGAATAGCATGAGTTATGTTATTTGGATAATATCAAGCTTCTCCCTTAGTCTTAAGATATGGTTGTTACCATGCGATCAGCTATTTCATCTACCTTCTTCAGTGGCTGCGTTTCCGGTCAGCGGAGAGCCAGGTCCAGAGAAGTACTCAGGGATGACGGACACTTCGTACTTTGTGTCGGGGGTCAGGTTCTCCAGCGTTCTCCTCCTCTGATTGGCTGGAGTGGTGACTTCTTTGCTTTCCCCGCCAGTAACTGGTCTGTATATAATTCGATACCTTAAAACTCTCCCTGGAGCTTGAGTCCAGGTAATTTTAAAACTATCCGTGGTCTCATCTGTCACTTTTAGGTTTCGGGGTGCTCCTTTTACTGGAATAAAAAATATGTTGTTCAAAACTTTAGCTGATTTCATGGGATAAATACAAACACTAACTTTTTAACACTAAATTATAGCATTCCTTTAATGCATGAGCAGGTCTTTTTTTTTTTGTACAAGTTTCCTGGTTATTGTATTTTTTCAGTCAGAGATCAAACAGATTCAGAAACCCTTCCACAACTAACATATTATCTATACAGTTATCTGAGTTGGAGAACAATTGAAACATAAATGGGAGAACAGATATGTGACAGGTGCTTAGTAAAGGCTGGGTACAGCACAAACTTTTGAAGTTCAATTGCAACTTGGATGACACACATAGAGTCTTCAGTAAAATTATTTAAGACCCAGATGAAAATGTCATTTGGGTTTGTGTTTAGTAAACATATTTAAATGTCCCAGTTGTTCAAGAGGGCAAACTGCATCCAGATAACAATTGTAAAACAAAGGTGAAGACAAGCTTATTGTGTCCTGTTCCATAGAGTGAAATTACAGATATAAGCTATTAGACGCTCCCTTGAAAATTCAGCATAACACTAGATACCTCCAGGGGGAAGAGAAGAGAAGAGAAGAGAAGAGAAGAGAAGAGAAGAGAAGAGAAGAGAGAAGAGAGAAGAGAGAAGAGAGAAGAGAGAAGAGAGAAGAGAG